GGCCCCACTTAGATTTAGAGTAAGGGAGACACCCTTGCTCCGTTGCTGGAAGTGATATCAGTTCTTTGTTTTTGTTTTTTTTTTTGTTTTTTTTTTCGCAAAAGAAGGGTCATGCTACACTCAGGTATATTCAACCACTGTATGCTTTTGGATTCAAGGAGGGTCTCTTCAGCGTCTGATTGTTCAGTAGAGATGGGGACTGAGAATGGGGTACCTGAAATAAAGGTGCATTTAGTAAAATAAAGAGCGAGAACCAAAACTTCCAACGTTTTTTGGGGCTGCATTTCTTTCTTTTCTTTTTTTATTTTAAAGGGTCTTTATTGCTTTTATTTGAAAATTGAAGCCCACGAAAGAATCGTTTCGAAGAATTTGACATAATCTATGTCAATTTTGATTATTTTTGTTACAATGAGAAACTTGAATTCCAAACCTCCTACTAATAGAAGGGAATATTACAAAGAAACTAAAAAAAAAGGGTTTTGAACAGTAATTTTCAATGTTCATACTCTCATAATTCATTATTCATTTAAGTAGTTTAGATTTTATTTTTTTTTTGGTAATTTTAAAATTATTTCATTTTGGTCATAAAATTTTAATTCTCTAACCGATGCACTCGCACATGCATTTTTTCTTTAATTTTTTTTAATTAATTTATGTTCTTTTTTTAATTTAACTTAGGAGTATAATAGTAACAATTAGGAATAAATTACTTATAGTCTATTTAATTGATTTCGTCAATTGATTCCTTAAACTACCAAACTAAACAACTTAGGACACCATTTAATTCTCTAACACATAATTCATCATTTACAAACTATAAATTGCTTAACCTAACATCCATTTTCAAATCTAAAAATAAGTTAAGCAAAGGTAAAAGTTCCCTCATGTATTTTACATAATTAAGCACGTGATACGGCAAGTCGATCTTCCTCCTTTGTGATGGTCATTTTCTAACCTTTTATCACCTACACCATAAGAAACTAGGTTAGCGTTGCTCGGTAAATGTAATCCATGTGATGCATTTAGTGCTCATTATGCATTTATAATTGGTAAGTTTAAATCTTTTGGAATAATTGTTCTAAAAGCCCAAAAATTGATAATAGTTGTTCTAAGTCATAAAATTTCTTTTATTTGAAAATTGAAGCCCACGAAAGAATCGTTTCGAAGAATTTGACATAATCTATGTCAATTTTGATTATTTTTGTTACAAATGAGAAACTTAAATTCCAAACCTCCTACTAATAGAAGGGAATATTACAAAGAAACTAAAAGAATGGGGTTTTGAATAGTAATTTTTACTGTTCATACTCTCATGATTCATTATTCGTTTAAGTAGTTCGATTTTTTTTTTTTGGTAATTTTAAAGTTATTTTATTTTGGTTATAAAATTTAATTCTCTAATTGATGCACTCGCACGTGCATTTTTTCTTTGATTTTTTTTTTTATCAATTTATGTTCTTTTTTTTATTTAACTAGGTGTTAAAATTTTTTAAAAATCATTTGTTACTTTTTTTCACACAAACCGACGATTATATAATATATACAATATGTTTTTAGATTTTAGAATAAATATATACTACTCTTATTATTTAAAATTGATCTTTTCGATCTATTATAAAAATTCTATCAAGTTAATTTTTATTCTTATTTTTTTATATAATTTTATTTATTAATAATTTATTTTCTCTATATATGGATTCAAATAAGTTTTTTTATCCCTATTTTTATTTGCTTAATTCTTATATAATTAAATTTTAAAAATAGAATATATGTATTTTATGTTGGTCGACATACGGTCTAGCACTACGCCTCTCCCGCTAGATGGAGCCTCGTATCATTGAGCTCAAAGGCTACCCCCGGTAGCTAGGTTCTTCGGGGTCTCGAAAACATTTTCGACAACCAAACATGCTTATATATTTTTTAAATCGGTATTTCAAATACCATACATGTATTTTTATAAAATACACATATACTTAAAATAACGAACATAACGTATACACGTTCAATCCAAAAACACATATCAAATCTCCTTCCAATTCAAATAAAATCATTTGAATACAAAATCATTTCAAATATTCATGGTGTCCGCTTTCACCTAGGTTCTAAGGGAATGCATCTAAAACATTTATAATCCAATGATGCATGGATGACATATATAATTTCAAAAAATTAAAACACAATACACTATATAATATCCACTCACAAGTACAATTGAAAAATCAAACAAAAATCAAGATGGTTGGGATGGACTTGCATGCTTCGAAGAATCTAGCATCGTAAAATGATGAATCATCTATCAATATCACGTAATAACGAATAATCCAAACAATGAATTATTCTAGAATTAAAAATACAAGATTATCAAACAAAAATGAAATTTATTAAAAAAACTTGATCCGATAATCTAACTAAATTCTATAATCTCTCAATTGATTCTAAATAATAATCTAATCACATTCCATTGCCAATCCGTAACTCACTCCTTAAACAATCAACCTTCAATAAATCAATCTTTAATTTCATTAAATGATCAATTCTATTCTAATTCATCCAATAATCACTCCATTCATCTTTAATTATACTTTTCTAACTTAATTCCTCATTTTTTTCAAAATTCTTTTCAATTAAAACCTAAATTTAGATTTTTCACTATTCATCATCGTCAACCTCTCATTTTCTCAAATTCACTCAATTTTACTTTAAATTAACTTCATTTATCACTTATCTAAGATAATTAAACATCATTCAAGCTATCATAATCATTTAAGATCACCTTCCCTCAAATTGGTTTTAAAACTCTAACCTTAACCTAAGCAATTCCTTAAGTAACCAACTAACCCAAAGCAATTGTAATTCAATATCATCATTAATCACATATAAACTTCTCAATTCAAGGATCAATGAATCAAAATCCTTACCTTTATACTAAGCTCCTCAAATTAATCCTAGCTCTCCAAGCTTCCCAAGCTCCAAGTTAGTTAAACTCCACTTAGTCAACTAGTTTAAGATTTCTCTAAGCTAATTTAACAAGAGTTTAACTTCGAAATTGAAGAGAGAAATGGGAGAAAATGGGAGAGAATTGCATGAGGGAGGGGGAGAAAAGAAAGAAAATAAAAAGGATAGCCAAGCTATCCTATTTTTATACCAACCCCTTTTTTTTTTAAAAAAAAATCGAAGTTATTACAAGTGTGTGTGTATTAACATATACTTCATCTTATATTACTCTTATTATTTAAATTTATCATTTTTTATGAAAATTCTCATCCAATTAATATTTTTTGTATAAAATTTTATTTACTTATAAATATAATTTATTTTTCTTTATGTTTGAATTTTAGAATAAAGTTTTAAAACATGATTTTTTTTATCTTTTTTAAAAAATAAATTGGTATAATATATATCATTAATTCTTAGAATTTTTAAATGATAGTTACATATATATAAATAAATAAATATTTTTTTCTAAAAGGTTAAAAATGTATTTTTAATAATTTATCTCAGTTCACTATGTATGGTCAAGACATATTAAAAAAACTTTTGAATCATTTTTTTTTATTAAAAATTAACTATACATCTTCCAACATAATACAAATTATTTAATATGAATATTTTTTTAACGTTATAAAGCCAACTTATTTGAAATAAAATAATTGAAATAATTTTTTAAAGGAACCAACCAATTATTCAAAAATAGTTTTTTGTGCTAATTTTATTGATTATTTTGTAAATAAATATATAAAGATCAAATGCATATACTTTTTTTAAAAAATCTTCTTGCCAACTTTAAACAAGAATATTTTTTTTATTATTAGTTAATTTTTATGCAAGCCTATGCATTAATTGTAACTTTATTTTTTTAATAAATTTTTATATAAAAATATATTTTTAAAGTATTTTTTTTGAATTCTTAATTAATATTTCAGGTTTAAATTATTATAATTTTTTATTTAAGAATCCCTAAATAAAAAAGAATAAATCATGTTTTTTTTAAGCATAAATTTTATGAAAAACACAAAAAAGTAATAATTAAATAAAAAATTAATGAAAAAATTATAAAATTTTGAAATAATTTTGTTCTATTTGGTCATAGCATTTGGCGGATAATTTCAAAAACTAATCTTCTTATCAGTATTAAATAAGATTTTTTTTTCATTTGTTAATTTTTATAAAAATGTGCCAATTAATTATAACTTTATTTTTTAGAATACAATATTATGAAAAATATATTTTTAAAATATTTTTAATTCTTGATTAATATTTTAGTTAAAAATATTATAATTTTTTATTCTAAAATCAATCTATAAAGAAGAATATTTTTTTTTAACAAAAAATTTATAAAAAACATTAAAAAAATTAATTAAATAAAAAATTATAAAATAATTTTATTCTATTGGATTTGCAAAATAATATGGCAACCGGCTAGTTAATACTTGTTGAACTATAAATCTTTTAATTATGAGGCAACCATAAGCTTAACGCATGCACTGTCACTCCTAGGTGAATGTTTTTCAAAATGTTATTCCTGATGATTCATTTGAGAATCAATGTTTTCCCTAACTTATACTTAATCATCGTTTCGAAGAAAGAGCTTAACCGTACTATTGAATGACCAAAACAAGTGGTTCTAAAAAAAAAAGAAGAAGAAGAAGAAGAAGACAAAAACAGTAAGAAATTGGGTGCAAAATGACCACTACCGGCCGCATGTTTAGACCAAAATGCCAAGTCGTTCGCTTGTGGTTTAGCAAGAGAGAATCTTCGAAACTGATCAAGTCCAAGCTGGTCTAACATCAATCAGTCAATGATGAAACCGAGTTGAAAATTAAGTATATATTATTCTACTATGGAACTTGATCAATGTTCAGCGTTCAGCCATTTATAAAAAATAATTAGGGTGGAAACTGGAAGCTTAACTTCCACATTTACCTACTTCAGTTATCATATTCCTATAAATAACTCAACTCTAATGTAGTCAGTACTGTCATATATACTTACCAAGGAAGATGAATACTCCTACGGCCGCTGCTCTCTTTCTTGCCTCTGCTTTCATCGGTCTTATGGCCATTAATGCCGCTCAAGCACGAAGTTTACCTGCAGGTAAAAAACTTCTTCTTATATTGTTAAAAGGGATTCATAGCGGCCTGCTCCATTTTATTATATATTTTCTTGTTACGAGAACAATGATATATAGTTAAGATAAATTAACCAGTCAAGTTTAAACTTCTTTTTGTTCATGTGCTGCAGAAAGATTTGGCCTCAAAGTTGCAACAATAGCTACTTATAACCGCAGAAAAGCAACCCCACCACAACCACGACGGCCACCACCTCAAACTCAGCTATCTTCCCCAAAATCCAGGGAATTTACTAGAAATTATCGGAGGTTGGCTTTGCAGCCACCACAAAAGATGACTAGTTATGAAGGGACCTTGATTTCACCTCCAAAGCCTGCATCACCAAAAGGCCAGCATGAAATTGAGTCTCCATACACCGAAGAGATTCCATGTAATGATGGGTGCATATCTATGATTACAGATTTGTGGAGGCCTCTTCCAGGCAAATATACTCCTCCATATGTAGCACCTCCTGTTGTTCAAATAGCCCTTGATCTTGAGAGAATACTGCATAAAAGATCACCTCCTAGGCAATACCTAGTTTCAGCTTGAGATGATCTCAAAATAGTTAAGCAAGTGCACTCGCTGTGTATCCCACATCTATAAACTCAACTATTAATAAGGTTCAGCACCTGTGTATATATAGGCGCTGCGTATAATTAAAAAGTAATTAGGTTTTTCATGAAAGTAGGGTTTGTTTGCTTGCGAGTTTAACCGTAGAATATAATAACGTTCTGTAACGTTTAGTGATGGGCTTTAGCTGGAAAATTTCTTGTATTACGGCAATGAATTATCAATTTGTACTTGGTTTTTTCTTGATTAATTATTCGTTAGATGGATTTAATAATCCATGGCTATTTATATGATCAAATTAGTACAATTTCACTGAACTTTAATTCGTTGAAAATTATTATTGCTCACGTACAAATTAAGAAACCAATTGCATTCCAAGTAAAATTAATTAGAGACTAATTGTTCTTCTGTCAAAAAGACATTTGAGTAGTTGATAATAAGAATTATACACTAAAATTAAATCAATTTTTTCAATTGAGAAACAAAATGTTAAAATTATCAAATATATAAGAATTTACTCCTGAACTTCATTTAATAAATTAGACGGTGGTAAGAAAGATTGAAAACAACCATCCAATCCATTAATCCAACAATTGTCCATTTATTTTAAAAGGATATGGGTGATAAAAAGATCAATATAAAATTTAAACGAGATATACTAAGTTAAATTGATTGGGTAATATTACTTATTTATCTTATTTTTATTACAAATTACTTCTTACCTGAAAGTTTTTGGTTCTTGTACTTTTTTGTAAATACAATTTAGTCTTTGATTTCAAAAGTTATTACAAATAAGTCCTTCAGATGTTAATTTAACCTTGTTGATGAATAGGTTAAAAGTTATTTGGGTTTAAGTGGGTATTAATATCTGGTTAAAAAATAACTGAGTCATAAATGAATAGCTAAATTACCTAAAAATATTGTGAATTATTTGTTAAATTCACATATACTAATAAACTTTTTAAAAAAATTATTTGACAGTCACACATTATTTTTTGGTGACTAATAAGTATTTCTAATTAATTGTTTTACATTGACCGCACGTGATAATACGTAATGGCCTGAAAAGTCGACACGTTACCCATTGATCAGAATATCTCATGCTCGTGCGCGCTTGGATGGACTGATCAAGATCAAGTTCATTATCTACAACTTATACTCTATAAACATCCTCTTCCTCATCACTATGAACACAGGCCATCGAATTCAAAATATCACCCCTTCTGACTCTAAATCCCTCACTTAACATCTGTCAAAACAATGAAAACCCTTATTCACAATGGTGAAAAAAGAGGGATAGAAGGAGAAAAAAGAGATAGATTTGAGAAGAGAAAAAAATTGAAGGAAAAGGAGAAGAGGAGGCATAGATCACTGGAAGGGGAAAAGGAGAGAAAAGTGAAGGAGAAGGGGAAAATGAGAGACAGATATGAGAAGAGTAAAATAAAAAAAAAGGAGAAAGGAAAACTAGGGATTGATCAGAAAAGAGATGAGAAAAGCAGCTTGGTTTTTTTTTTTTTTTTTACCTCGCAAAGCTTTGGTTTTGGTAACGTTAATGTAGTTGCAGTTTAAAGGGTTTTTATTGGTTTTGGTAAAATAAATGTAATTGTGCGTCAATTTTTCAGATCAGATCATCATTTGCTCTCACGTACAGTAAATATCGAAATGATCGAAAATATCTATTATATACGACAAAATAACATACGCTAAGTCAAATAATTTTTTTTTCAAAGTTGTGGTAGATGTGAGTTTGACCAATAATTTATGGTGTTTTCTTAGAATTTAGACTAAATGGATAATGGGTAAAACATAATCTTTATTTCTTTTGATCCTTTTTGGTGCAAATGAGAAACTTGAATTCTAAACTTTTAACGGAAAGAAGATAATAATACAAGTTGAATTATAAGTCCTTTAATTATAATTAAGGAAACCACAAGCTTAAAGCATGTACCATCAAGACATATAAACTCTTACCCGAATGTTTTTCAAAATATCATTGTTGTCGCATGATTCATATGAGAATCCAAAATTTTAACTAACTTGTATTTCCCAACATTTCGAAGAAAGAGCTTTACCGTACTATTGAATGACCAAAACGAGTTGTTTTGAAAATAAAAAGACCAAAACGGTAGGAAATTGGGTGCAAAATATAATGAACAATGGCAGCCACATATTTAGACCAAAATCCCAAGTCGTTCACTTGTGGTTTAGCGAGAGGGAATTGGAAGCTGATCAAGTCCCAGCTGGTCTAACATCAATAAATAAATAATGAAGCCGAGTTGAACATTAGGTACATTAATTATACTACGGAACTTGTCTGTTCAATGCTCGTCCCTTTATAAAAAACAATTAAAGAAAAATGGAAGCTTAATTTCCACATTTACCTACTTCAATTACCATATGCCTATAAATAACACAACTCTTGTGTGGTCAGTACTGTAATAACCTATTTTTTTTTAATTTTTTAATTTATTTATTTTATGTTATTATTTATTTATTTTATTTTTTTTTAATTTGAAGTATACTAAAAAAAAGGAAAAAGAAAAAAAAGGAAAGAAAATGATGAAAAACACAAAAAAATTCATTTAGGGACACAATTGAAGTAATTAGGGGTGTAATCGAGTCAATTAAAAAGTTTAGGCCTTAAATTACACCTCAATGGACCTAATTGATGAGATTGTGCTGAAATTATTTCGCAGAGGGCGTAATTGCTGAAATTGAAATGCGAGGACCAAACCGAAAGTTTGGAGCGAACGACAGGATAGAAATGGAGAAGACGACTTGTCGTTCGCTCCAAGGAAAATTCTTTCCGAAAATCTTTGGGATAATCTATCCAAATCCTCTATGAATTTCTTGTTTTTGATTGTGTATTAATCGTGGATTTTGTTGTCAAAACCAACACTAACAGAAGCAATGAAAATTTTCTCGTTTTCATTTCACATTAATCATGAATTAAAAAGGAAAATTTTTGACGTAAAATTCGTGGATTTAGATTCGATTTTAAGAAATTTTTTTGGCTATAAAACGTTTGAATGTCACAAAGAAAAAAGAGAGGAAGAATTGGAGAGTAATTCGGGTTGGAGACTAAGTGAAAAAAAAAAAGCAAAAGGATTTGATCTTCGATTTTTGGCCTGCGTTTTTCCGGGGAATTTCCGGATAGGGGTTGTTGTTCTTGTTTTTCCGGGTTGGGTGCCTAAAAATTTTGACGAAGTCTCCTACATGGTAGGGACCGACGTCATCATATAAATAAATAAATCAATTCGACGAACTCTCTTATCTAATATGGATCGACGTCACCAAATTTAAAATTTTTGACGAAAACTCCTATTTAATAGGGTCCGACATCATAAAAAATTACCTTTTAATTAAGAAGTCTTTCGACAAGCCGGTTGTGTCAAGGCTTTTAGTGTATCCGATGTTTGAATCGACGTTTCACCCAACGAAGGGGATCGACAATCGTTTCAATATGATGCCACGCCCAAAACTAAAAAATTCACTTAATCTAAAAGAAAATAGGAGATTAAAATTTAGAAAATAGCTTGACATGGATTTTAGAAGATAATTCAGAATTAAACCGTACATGGTACCTTTTTTTGAAAAGGGCGATTTTAGGTAATTAAATATCTTTCTAAAAGCGTAACCAACTCCTTATCTTAGGAATCTCTCGAATTAGCGCTACTTTTAGGTTCCCGGTTCCTTAAATACAAAGTGACGACTCCAAAGCTCGTAAATAAATTTGTAAATATTCAACCTAATTTTAGATATTTTCGAGGAGTCCCATCCGACATCGGGTAGCGACAAGTACATTCATATGTGCATACCAAGGAAAATGAATAGTACTCCAATGGCCACTGCTCTCTTTCTTGCCTCTGCTTTCATTGGTCTTATAGCCATTAATGCCGCTCAAGCACGAAGTTTACCAGCTGGTAACAAACTTCTTCTTATATTGTTAAAAGGGATTCATAGCCTGCTCCATTTTATTATATATTGTCTTGTGATAGCTAAGATAAATTAACCAACAAATAATCAGGTGGCTCAAGTTTAAACTTTTTTTGGTTCACGTGCTGCAGAAAGATTTGGCCTCAAAGTTGCGACAATAGCTACTTATAATGGGAGAAAAGCAACCCACCACTACCACGACGGCCACCACCTCAAACTCAGCTATCTTCCCCAAAATCCAAGGAATTTACTGGCAATAATGAGAAGTTGGCTTTGCAGCCACCACAGAAGATGACTATTTATGAAGGGACCTTGATTTCACCTCCAACGCCAGCATCACCAAAAGGCCAGCATGAGATCGAAGAGATTCCATGTAATGATGGGTGCATATCTATGATTACAGATTTGTGGAGGCCTCTTCCAGGCAAATATACTCCTCCATATGTAGCACCTCCTGTTGTTCAAATAGCCCTTGATCTTGAGCCAATACTGCATGAAAGATCACCTCCAAGGCAATACCTGCTTTCAGCTTGAGATGATCTCAAGATAGTTAAGCAAGTGGACTTGCTATGTTTCTGGCCTGGTTTTGACGTCTACAAACTCAACTATTACTAAGGTTCAGCCTTGTGTATGGGGGCTGAGTATAATTAAAAAGTAATTAGGTTTTTCATGAAAGTAGGGTTTGTTTGCTTGCGAGTTTAACGGTAGAATATAATAACGTTCTGTAACGATTAGTGATTGGCTTTTGCTGGAAAATTTCTTGTATTTTGGTAATGAATTATAAATTTTTACTTGGTTTTTTCTTGATTAATTATTCATTAGATGGATTTAATAACCCATGGCTATTTATATGATCAAATTAATCCAATTAATTCATACAATTTCAATGAACTTGAATTCCCTAAAAAAATATTACTGCTTACGTACAAATTAAAAAAAACCAGTTGCATTCTAAGTAAAATTAATTAGTGACTGATTTTTTTGCTGCTCAACAGACATTTGAGTGGCTGATGATAAAATCGTTAATTGATCGTGAGAGACACCGTTCAATTTCATTATTTTGATATTCTCGACTTTTCAAGTCGAGACTATTCAACATGTAAGTGATGAGAGAAAACACATATATATATATATATATATTTCTACTCCAAATTACAAAATCAATCGATATCATAATCTTCTCTCACTCCTTTCCTCCTAATTTAACTCACCATCTCTTCTCCAAAATCAATAACCACCTTTAAAATGAAACTCAATTTCAAAATCCGCATCGCTAAAATGTATAAAGCAACCTAAAATAATAAAAATAAAATAAGTACCCACACTCAAAGTACACAAATCTATATGACTGTGATCATTAATGGGATGTTTGTTTATCTTTTTTGGGATCTAAGATTTTTTGTCTTTGGATTTAAGGCCAGACTCCCTTAGACTTTTATTTATATACAGTATAGATTAATTGAATTTGTATCTAAATTAATAAAATGACTGTTCAGATTTAAATTTATTCTATCTTCCTATATATTTTTATGGAATCAAGACTCTAGCATAACAAACACCCACAGATGCAGAGATGAAAACCCTAGACTATGTCTCAGTGCAAGGCAACAACCATGTCAGCTCAGAGAAGCAAAACAAGGAGAACGCAAGAAGAAAAACGTAAGCAGCACACTCAAGATCCAATATCAAAGTAATTGGGATCTAACATAGCCAGAGCCAAAGCTTGGCTCCATTACACTTGATCAAATTAAGTCATAATCAATTAATGAATTAATTACTGCTTAAACTTCAATACGTCTTTTATTAAATCTGTCAAAATTAAGCCCGCGTGGATAGTCAAGCTTGTGTTATAGACTTAATGTTCATTTATTTTATTACCTACACCAAACTTGAACTTTCATGCATGGAATCCGAAGTTTACTATATTTGACGAATTTTCTGCTGGAATGAGATATATAAAGTTCAATTCAATTTAGGCTACATATAAAGCATGCAGGGGCAGAACTGCTTTGAAAGGTTGGGGGCCATGATACCCTAAATTTTGAAAAAAAAATTACATTTTATTCCTAAAAGTTTGAAACTATTTAATTATAACTTTCAATTCAAAATTTAATTTATAAGAAATATACTTGTTTTGCATCCCAAAAATCATGTACTATCTCCCATTCCTAAAACGAAACTATGGTTATAATTTGCTTAATCTTTTTTTTTTTTTTTTACACTTGATATCCCACACCAAACTTATCCCTACTTAACAAATTAAAAATCGAAAGATCAGGGATTTAGTTTTCATTGATTTATAATTAAGAGAGTGTTTGTAACAAATAGCCCTTAAAATATAGCAAGGTTTACTAGTATGCATTTTTCACGTACGTAGGACGACGAACTTTGACGAGAAAGTACTTCTTGACACTTCAACTAACTTAAACTGCCAATCATTTCGAAGTGCTTAATTAATATAACAATACGATGGCTATGGATTTGGACCAAAGGCCAAGCCTTCCACATTTGAAACTTGTCTCCGTTTATTTTTTCTTTATAAAAAATAATTAATAGAGTGAAAAATGGAAGCTTGATTTCCCCATTTACCTACTTTAACGCGTATCATGTGCTTATAAATAGCATAACTCGATCTATATATATACATAATATGCTTTAGAGCCATACATATATATACACATGCCATTAAGGACAGATGAGTACTATTCCAATGACGAGTGCTCTCTTCCTAGCTTCTGCTTTAGCTTTTCTTGCACTTTCAGCCATTAATTTCGCTCAAGCAAGGACTTTACCAGGTGATCAGAGATCACTACTAGCTTCTTGTATATTTCTGTCCAAGTTATATTCATATGTATGTATAGTTGAATGTTTTTTCCTATATATATATATATATATATATCTTGAATTGAAAATGTTTTGTTTAAAATGGCTTATCCAAATTAATGATGATGGATAAGTGGTTTGAGCTCCTTTTTTTAAAATTCGTTTTTCTTTCTTATATTAAAGGGCTAGTTTCATATATATTAACCCTAAAAGGGAAGCTCAAGTACTGTCAAAGCATTTGGTAGCTGATGTTCCGTTAAAACTCCAACTTTGTCAAATCGGAAGAATCACTTCCTTTTCTCAAATATTTTTTCAAGCCACTAGCCTGGGTCTTAATTTTGGACTCTGATACGAGCGGTGGTTGCTTCTTGCTGGCTATATAATCATCTACGATCAGTCAGAGTTCCATGTCAAAAAAAAAAAATCCTAATAATAAAAAAGTGGTAGTGTAGAGATTTGAACCCTAGTTGTTTGCCAACGGTTTACTAGTTAGACATAATAAAAACCCTGAATCTAAACTTTCTTTCATTTATGTGTTAATTCGATGCAGATAGATTTGGCCTCAAAGTTGCAACAGCAATAGCTAGCCGACGACCTCCATATCTGGTACGTTCGTCAAAATCCAAGGAATCGACAAACAATTATGAGAAGTACTTGACTTCGCCACCACCAACGCCTGGTTATGATCAAGGGACCATGAGCTCACCCCCGGAGCCTGCACAACCGAAAGGCCAGCTTGAGATTGATTCTCCATGCAGTACTGAAGAGAGTCCATGCTTTAGTAATAGTTGCATATCTATGATAACTGATTCTGGGAGGCCTATATCAGCATACTCACCTCCAAAGCCTGCAACTCCTATAGTGCCAGTATTCCATCCAAATTCACCTCCAAGGAAATGCCTAGTTTCAGCTAGAGTACCGGATGATCTCTTGATACTTGAGCAAGTTGAGTCTCGATACAGCACTGAAGAGAGTCCATGCATTAGTGATGCTTGCATATCTATGATAACAGAGACTGGGAGGCCTATATCAGCATACTCACCTCCAAAGCCTGCAACTCCTATTGTGCCAGTACTGGATCCAAAATCACCTCCAAGGCAATATATACATAGTTCTAGCTAGAGTGGATGATCTCTTGATACTTAAGCAAGTGCATGCCGATGCCGTATAATTAAGTTACCGACCTGGTTTCCTGTTACTAATTAGGGTTACAGACTATTTAGGTGCATGCTGGGCCGCTGGGGTGCTGTTTGTGCTCGTCAAATCTTGTCTCTCTTTTAGAAATTAGGCTTCCAGTGGAAGTAGGGGTTTGCTTGTGAGGTTAATTAAGTAATAGTACATCAAGTTTTGTAATATTCACATAAGATCTAGAAGGCGTCAGATAAATGTAGCGGGTAATGTTAGTTATCTATTTTATTTTTATTACAAATTACTCCTTATTTGAAAATATTTGGTCCTTGTATTTTTTATAAATAAAATTTAGTCCTTGGTTTAAAAAGCTATTACAAATATATAAGTCCTTAGATGTCTATTTAAACGTGTTGATGAATAGGGTAAACATTAAGTGACTATTTTGATCTAACCTGTGTCATCCATACTTATTCATATTATTTATTGCAATGATGTGGTCAAAGTATATATACATCGGGTTTTTAAATGACATTCAAGTCTTTTAGTTGAGTGAGTGAGTCCAAAATTCCAACATAAAGATCATTCGTCCAAAATTCCAACATAAAGAACATTCTTTTTTGACTATCAGAGACACTTAAGAATGTTGTTTAGGTAAAAATATATTTTGAGTCATTTGAGAGAGATATCTATTAATTATTGTCTTGAGTTGATTTTAGAATGAGAAGAAGGTGTCTATTTATATTATTAGGATCTTAAGAAAACTTATAAAAGACTTATCCTTAATTTCTTTTTATTTTTTAATATAATGATATAACCTTTTTTCAAAAAAAAAAAAAAAGAAGTAATATGATTTAAGTTATATTTTTAAATTAAAATATTACAACATTTCCTCACTCATTTTAATTTTAAAAATTAGTTGAGAGAATTTACCAAAAGGAACTTTTAAGCATCATAAAAGTATGGTTTGCATTGAATGTTTATTTAGTAAAACAATAGTCTCTACTCGAGAGTCAATAGTGTTCTCCGACTTTAAGTATGACCACTTAAAAAAAATAAAGTATCATATAATAATTCAGGTATTGATATGATTTTTAATAGCCAACTCTTTTTCTGGTATTGTATTTATTAGTTTTCATTAGCGTAATCCTAATTCTCATAGTGAACGGTTCCACTCTCACACCTATATAGATTCATTTTGTGAAGAATTTTTTTGTAATTCTAACACCATTCTTGTATGAGTTAAATAACACTCGAATAAGTTACCTAGAGTCATTAAGAGTTCTATATAAAAACTCAACCTCCATACCATGACTCATAGGAAGGGATATAACAATTAAAATGAATTAATTGTTTAAAATAATATACTGCATCCCTAAGGCTACCCTATGATTCATTTTTTCATTGAATTTTGCTATAGGATCTTTTGTCCCTAGATCGGGTATTCTCATACATGACTCTTATATTTATGGACTTTAATCCCATCTTCCTGGATGTGCTCCAAATATTTTTTTCTTGCTAATTAAGACCTTATAAGGTCTACATTATTATGATCTACATTAACTCTGCTACTAGTCAAATAAGATCTCACAGTATTATGTTTTTTTTTGTATAGATCTGAATTTACTGTTATAAAAATGGTTTTGCACTCTATCAATGAAAGCAATACTATCATAATGAATTAAAACTAGTAAATCTAGTTTTTTTTTCAAAAGGAATCTCTCAACTGGTTTTCTTCTTCCCATGCTGAGGCTAAAGTAATTAGTTTAGCTTCATTATTGAATTAGCTTTCAAAATGTCACAGGAATCACAACATTCCGTTCTGAAAAGCATTAAAAAAAAAAATCTGAGACGAATTTGATCTATATATTGTGTCCTTCTAACTTATTTTTGTTAAATATATGGTGGCCATCTAAATTTGATGATACCTATTTAATAGAATATTCTATTTTTTAATTCTTATTGATATATATTGTCATCACCCAATTTTGAATTCCTTTAAAGGAAAAATAATAATAAAAAAAAGGAAAAAAAATATTAAACCTCCCTAAAATCATTTAAAATCTTTCACAAATCTTTTTAAATTGGAAGCTCCTTATTTTTAGGAATCAAATCTCAAAATTAAAATTTGAATTGATTTCGGGAGAAATTGTAGGAGGTTTCGAACTATAAAAAGCTTTCGAATTCTAATTGGCCGGGGAGAAAGGAGAAGGAAAAAAAAGCAGCCAAAAAAAAAAAAACACAAAAAAAAAACTAAAAACCTAATTGAAGCTAGCCAAACAAGCCCTAACCAGCCCACTAACCCGTTCACCAACCCGTTTACCCGATCGGACGTTTCACCGTCAATCCGATCATTTTTCGATCGGTTTTAGCCCTAAACACCACACCCTCATGTAGCCCATCACCGAATCGGCCTATCAACGCCGGTTAGAGAGAGAAAAAATCACGAAGGAGAGAGAAATCGAAGATCAAACCACCACGACCCAACCCAAAAAGATACCCAATCGTTTCTCTCAACTCCGGTCACCAACACAAGAACCACCACCACAGAACTGATCGTCGGTCTCCCCGAGTGTTTTCATATAAAAATCTCAACCCAACGACACCAAAAAACGATTTAATTGAGTTCAATCCGTTTTTGACCCGTTTTGACAAACCCGAAAAAAATTGGTCGATCTAGCAGGAATTGGAGGTCCTAACCACCACATAAATCCTTCTCTCAACCTCACGAGTCAACCGGTATGCTTGAAATCCCGAAAGGAGATTGGATTCATCACCGATGAAGAAAGGAGATCCGACTGAATCTTTGGAGGCTTCGATCTCCCTTCTCCGGCATTGTCTCCGGTCGATAGCACCACCATTGGATTCGCAACGATCGGATCTACAAGGCTAGGTGGTCCACGCTCCCGAAAGGTCACTGGAAGACGAACGGTCACTTGGCGGTGACCTTTGGTATTCTAGGGGCGTTTTTGTAATTTTGGTAAAGGTGAATTTTGGACTTGTTTGTGTTTTTTTTTTCATTTTTTTATGTGTTTTGTAATAATTTTTTATCTTATGCATGTCTGAAAATCTAGAGATATTTAGTTGTGAAATTTATTCTAACATGTGATGTTTTTTTTATGTGATTAAAATATTAGATCAATGAGTCTCCTATTTATTAGGGACGGACGGTGATTTTAATGCATTTAATTTTTCAAATTTTATTTTAGTTGATTTCAGTTACTTAAAATCTTAGAGTTTTTTTTTCTTTATTAAGAAAATAAAAAAAAACTAGAAAAAGATATATATCCAAATTTTCAACGAAGTTTCCTACATGGTAGGGACTGGCGTCACACAAAAAAATTTAAAATTCTCGATGAAGTCTCCTATCCGATTGGGACCGACGTCACAAAAAAAAATTATTTTTAAATCAAAATATCCTCGGACACACCAGCTTGTGTCAAGGCTTAAAGTAGATCCGATGTTTGAATCGATGTGTCGCCCGACGAAGGGGATCGATGATCGTTTCAATACGATGCCACGCTCAAAACTAAAAAATTCAATTTGTTTAAAAAAATGAGAGTTTAAAAAATCAAAAAATAATTTGACGTAAATAAAATATTTTAAGAGATAAATTTAAAGTTAAACCGGACGTGGTACCTTTTTTCGAAAAGAGCGCTTTTGGGTGATCGATATCTTCCTAAAAGTGTAACCAATTCCTTACTATAGAATCTCCGAACCAGTGTTTGTTTTAGGTTCCTAATTCCTTCAATACTAGGTGGCGACTCCAAACTCTATAAATAAACTTATAAATATTCAATCTAATTTTAGATATTTTTTAGGAGTCCCATCCGACGTCGGGTAGCGACACACACACACACACACACACACACACACACGGATATATATATATATCCGTGTGTGTGTGTGTGTGTGGTTGTGCAATAACCCAAAATTTACCTTCTTTTTTTTATTATTTTCTACTTTTATTTTTATTTTTATTTTTTACTTTTTATGTCATGTTTGTTTTGTTTTATTTTGAAGTTTATTGAAAAAAATGATGAAAAACAAAAAGTATTTTATTTAGGGACACAATTGAAGTAATTAGGGGTGTCTTCGAGTCAATTAAAAATTTTAGGCCCTAAATTGCATCTCACAAGAACCCAGTTGAGAAGATTGTGTTGAAATTATGCCACAAAGGGCGTAATTGCTAAAATCAAAATGCACAAAGACCAAATTGGAATGTTGGAGCAGACGACAGGACTGAAATGTGGAGGACGACCTGTCGTCCACTCCAAACCCAGATTCTCTCCGCAAATCTTTGGAGAAATCTATCAAATCCTCCACAAATTTTTTGTTTTGATTCTATATTTATCATTGAATTAATTTTGGACAGAGAATCAAGCAATCACTAATTTCTTTCCTTGTTGATTAGCTAATCGAATCTCAAATTTGAGATTTTGAAATCTTGACAGAAAAGTTTGGGATTGTTTATTGATTCTAGGAGAAATTCAAGGAGATTTGTAGCTATAAAAAGGGTTTGATTTTACAGAAAAAAAGGGGGAGGGAAGAAAATAGGAAGAGAATTTTGGGTCGAGAGAGTAAAAGAAAAGAGTATAATTCAAAGGTTTTTTTTAGTTTGGGGTGGCTGTTATTCTAGGAAATTTCTGGGCGGGGGCTTTGTTCTTAGCTTTCTGGATTTTTTGTTTCTTCACCAGTAGGGGTTTTTTATTTTTTTTCTTTGATTTTTCTAGGCTTTTTGTTGAATTACCCTGTTTATTCAACTCAATTCACTGTTTTTTCTTGTGATTAATTGGCATCTTTCGGATTTTTCTTCTAAACTTTTTAGGCAGAAGTTCATTTGTTCATCGTCATTTCTTCGTGTTCATAATTCTGGGTTTCGATTCTGGGATTCTAGTTATTAGCTAAGCCATCAAGATTAATCGTAACTCCCTTATCCCTTGAAAGTCAGCCAGACATTTGGTGCTCCTTCATTCACTTCATAAAACAACAGTCATTTATTTCAAGTCAGTTTTTTTCTTTTTTGAGTTTACATTCCTTTAATTATCATCATTTGATTTTCTTGATATCTAAGATTTAATTTTAGTTTGTTGAGATTAGAAAAACAAGAATAGTTTAATCAGTTGGCCCTTTTGTTCAAAAACATGAGTTAACTCTTGTGAAATCAAGAATAAGAGAGTTGGAAAAAAGGAGAACAGAAGCAGAGAAATAAGAACATGAGTGAGAAAGAGTAAAAATCTGATAAGTTTTCGTTTGATCCAAAAAATAAAATAGGAGGAGGTTGGGTCTTGTTATGGGTTGGAAGTCCAGCTCAAGGTTTGATATTTTTTAAGAAAAAAGATTGGGACGTGGGTTAGCCCAACCCACACGGATTGAAAGACTGGGCTACTTTCAACCCAGCCTTGGCCTAGGCTTTTAATAAAATAGGGGAGCAGAAGCTGGTTTCAGTCCAGCTCCTACCTCTCCCCCTCTCCACCTTTTACTCAAAAAAAAAAAAAAAAAAGTGATAAAGAAATAAAAAATAGAATTTAAAAAAAAAGTAAAAGGAAGAAAAAAATAAGAAGGAAAAAGGAAAAAAAATAGGGGATGGGTAAAAAAAAAAAAGTAAAAGTTGTGGGTTAATGGTTTAGGTATATGATGATTTTTTTTTCTTTTTCTTTAATTATTCATTCATTCATTTATTTATTTATTATTATTTTGCCTATTTATTTTTATTCCTTGTCGTTTTTTATATTAATTTAGAATTATTATTTCAATTTTTTATTTTATTTTTTTCTTTAATATGTATTGCTAGAAAAATAAAAATAAAATCTTGACGAAGTCTCCTATCCGATAAGGATCGACGACATAAAAAAACCCCTAAAAATTTTGGCGAAGCCTCCTACTTGATAGGGACTGACGTCACAAAAAAAAATAACATAATAATAAATAAATAAATTGACGAAGTCTCATATCTAATAAAGACTAACGTCACCAAAAAGAATATTCAAAATTTTCGACGAAGTCTCCTATTTGATAGGGACCGACGTCACAAAAAATCACCTTTTAATTAAGATATCCTCCGACACACCGGTAATGTCAAGGCTTTTAATGAATCCGATGTTTGAATCGACGTGTCACTCGACGAAGGGGACCAACGATCGTTTCAATATGATGCCACACCCAAAACTAAAAAAAAATTCATTTAGTCTAAAAAATAGGAATTTAAAAATTAGAAAATAGCTTGACATGGATTTTTAAGAGATGAATTTAGAACTAAACCATACATGGTACCTTTTTTTAAAAAAAAGCACTTTTAGGTAATTAAATATCTTCCTAAAAGTGTAATCAACTCCTTACCTTATGAATCTCCGAACCAATGCTATTTTTAGGTTCCTAGTTCTTTCAGTACTAGGTGACGACTCTAAAACTTTGTAAATAATTATGTAAATAATTAACACACCGGACTTTAATTTCTTTGGGTGGTCCCATCCGATGTTGTGTAGCGACAGGTTTGATGATATTTATTTAATTGAATATTCTATTTTTTAATTCTTATATATATATATAAGAAACGAAATATCGTAACACTCCCATATCAAAATATTTCTTTCTAATTAAAAATCTAAATCAGTTTTCAAAACAGTATTGACATCTATAACCAAAACTTTTCTTTTCTTCTGATAAATGTAAAATTTTTATAATAGATGAAATAACTAACGAATTTTATTTATTTTTTATTTATAATAATAATATAATATCCTTTTGTTAAAAAAGAAGAAGAAGAGAATATTCTTCTAGGTTTTGCATAAACATAGAAACTAAGTTAGTTCGGACAGACGGTGGAGTTAGAGTAAAATAATGGGATGTAGGCGGAGAGGGGCAATGTGAAAATAATATAGCGATGAAAATAAGGTTAAGCTAAAAGAAATGAGACATAACTATAATTACCTAATTTTTAAAGGGGCCTAATTGACAAGACCCTTAACTATGAGGGCCAAACGAACTTCGTAAGAAATTTGGGGCACCGGGGCCTTTTCAACACAAGCTGTAGCATTGTTCTTGCAGACAAGTCTAAAATAAGATATATCTATAAGAACCCTCTTTTTTTTTTAAAAAAATTTCTTTTTATCCGAAGATTAAGATTTTTAGATAGGATTTAGGAGTATTTTTCATTTAAATTCATGTTAATCACAATTAAATCTCTTTTTTCAAACAATGTTTAAGATCCATCTCTCATATGAATATGATAAATTAAGAAAAGAAACCCACTTGCTCATGAGACTTTAAACATGCAATAAAACTTGGGAAAAAAATGCCCCTTGCATTTCTCGTAAACATGAAAATGCCACTCCATCTCTGTTAAACAATGTTGTTTCCAAGTGAGCACAAAGAAAAGAAGAGAAAAAGAAAATCTCAAAAAATGAGTAAGCTATATTTTTGTTTATACTGATTCGCCATTGTTCAACTTCTACTACCATACTTTATAATTTTCCAATATCACCCTCATAATTTCTTAAAATTTTCAATTTTGTTCTTTATTACTAAATAACTTGGAAAAAAAAACTCACTTTTGTTCATATTTTATTTTCATTTATCTTATTTTACTCTCAAATCCCCATGAATATAATAATATTTGGTATAAACACTTCGAAATATAAAATAAAAAGTCAAAAACCAAATTCAAAAAAGTAGTTTAGTTGATGATTAAGGGTAAAATTAGAACTTTATTGAAACAAGAAGGATAATATTGAACAAATTAAACTAAAGGAGTAACAGTGTAACATTGATGAATCTATAGGGAAAAAACTGAAGTTTACCATAAAAAAGTTCTCATAAAATGACATGGCAAAACCCACAAGGACAAGTGGGACCCAAACCGAACCCTTTAAAAGCTCCTCTCTCTTCAGGGCCCTAAAGCGCCAAAATCCTAAAATCTCTCCCACTAACAGAAACATCATTCATTTTTCTGCTTCTTCTTCACTGCTGGTAAGAGTCCTTTCGGTTCCTTCTTTATAAACAAATAAATAAATTATCAGTTTTTTATATTTCTCATTCTTTGATTGGCATTTTGTGTGCCATTTCTTTGCTACGAAGGTTTAAGATATTTAGGTTTTTGTTATTTTTTTATCTGTGAATTTTCATGGGTTTCTTGCTTGAATTATGAGTTTTTTGGGTTTTGATGATGTCATCTTTTCTTGTTGTTTGATTTTTCTATGTGGGTTTTAGGTTTTCTTCATACTCTTTATGGGTTTTTCTTGTTTTGTGTTTGTGTTGGGTTTAGAGTGGTTTTTTGGGTGTTTTTATCTCCAGTAATTTCTTTGGTTTGAGGAATATTTTGTTGTTTTAGAATCAGTTAACTGATTGATATTACCGTTGGTTAACTTGGATTTTGTTGTAAATTTTGGGAAATTATTGTTTTAAAGGATGACACGAACTATCTGCTTAATGTATTTCAAGATTGTAGTATTCCCTGGGTTTGTTTCAATGTTGTTCTATTATTAAAAGACTAGCACATTTTTTTTGCCAAATTTTTACCCCTTGTATCCTTAATTCTGGTAGGAACGGGTGTTTTCTAGTGACTATTTTATGAGCTACTTCTACTATGTATAGCCTTAAAGGCAAACTTAAAAAGAACAAAAAATTTCATGTATTGTTTGTAATCTATTTGTTTCTTTTGCTAGTCTATGCTTGCTGGGATTTCAATTCTGTATATTCTTCTAGTAATGTGTACATTTGATTGCACTCATCCTTTTCCAGAACTTGTTATGCAATGGCAAGTGAAAAGCCAAAACTAGGAGATAAATTACCAAATCCTAGTTCTGCACCACAAAGGAATGAAGAACTCGAAGCTCTTGATCCAACTAATTTACATGCTGACCATAGTGGGAGTTTTGATGATCTGTTGCCACCTTTTCCTTTTTTCCAAACTGGGGATATGCAGGGAATGCCTCAACATTATGCTCAGGAAATGCCATTGCCTGCCATCCGTATGATGAATGAATTTTCCCAGTTCAATTTCTCTGACCATACTGCATTTGACCATGATTACTTACATAGGTCAGTTCCAGATATTCCCCTCTCAGAAGGGAATGTGAATGAATCAGTTGATTACTTTCCCTTATGTGCTTTAACAAATGTTGCTAGTAAGATGTATGATGATCTTCAGAACTCCAAGATTGACAGAAAAGTTGAAAGTGTCAGGAGTGATATGGCTATAGGCTCAGAAATGTATAGGGAGGCTGCTGAAGCAAATATTAATGATGTGCATAGATCTTCTCTAATTGGAAATCAAATGCGTTATAGAGCTAGCACAAATATGCCAACACATTACTCAACTAATGGAAAAGGAGGAATTAATAACACCGTCCGGACAAGGGCAGCTCATTCTACTCATCCTCAAATCCTTGATGGGAGTTCTCTGAAGCTGGGAGTTGGAACTAATACAGAGACCAGATCTACATCTAATGTCTCCAGCAGATACAACACTCTTAAGTATAATGAGGCTGCTCGTCCCCAATCAAGTGCTTTACGTGGTCAAAAAGATGATATAAGTTCTTTGAGTTCCTGTTCAAAGGTGACTGGGGATTTTTCTACTATCCGAAACAATGTTGGTGGATTTAATAATCTAGTGTGGGATGACGGTGGATTTTCCAGCCTCACACAGAATGTGGATGGGCTTTCTAGGGTAGAACGAAATGCAGGTGGGGTTTCTCAACAAGTGAAGAATGTTGTTGAATTTTCTAATCTGCTGCAGAATGTTGGTGGGCTTTCTCCTCAAACAAAGAATGTGGGTGGATTTTCTCGTCAACTGCAGAATGTAGAGCAGCTTCCTAGACCATCTCAGAATGAGGGTGATAGGAGTTCGTCACTTTTAGCTGATAGGCAACACTATCATTCTGTTTCAAGCAACCGGAACTCGGGACTCAGAGTGAATGGAAATGCAAGATTTTCTGATGTAAATCTTAGTACAGGTTTTCAAGGTTTTCCTACTGAGCCCTTGATACTACGTAATAGAAATCAAGTGGGCATACCTGATTATGGACATTTGGCAAATGGGTTACAATCATCTTCTTTCATTAGGAATGCTACTCAAAGTGCTTCTGACCAACAACAGAATCCTCATACAGGAAGTTTCACGAACCTCTCACCTGAGCCTTCTCAGGTTGCTGCTTTTGTAGGGGTCACAAGAAGCAACAGCGGACAGATTCAATCAGGTGAATTATTTAGTTCTCAGTATTCCACTTAAGATTTAACTATGAATTTGCTTAGAGCTTCTAACAGCAACAGTGGACAGAGCCAATCAGGTGAATTATTTAGTTCTCAGTATTCCATTATTCCACTTGAGATTTAACTATGAATGTACTTGGATCTTCTAACAGAAGGTTTCTACATTATGTAGTCTGATATTTCTTTGTTTGGGTTTTTCTTTTTCAAAATCAATGGAGAATTTTGAGAATCAAGAATGCCTGTCAAATCTTTAAGTTTACCAGACTATAATCTAAAAAGAACCTTGTCCAGAACTTTATCAGTTAAATGTTTGATCAATGATGAGCAACCAGCAAGCTATTCTTTGTTTCTTTCATTGCCAAGTTTTAAATTTAATTTAGGTGTCCTAAGCTGCAGTTGATCTGTCCCCTTTAAATGGCCATGGGGTTCTTCTTTAGGATTCTATTAACGATTTTTTTTTCTTTTGTTTTACGGTGTATAAACAAATGAGAAGAGTCTGAGAGTAAATAAAATTTGAGAATTGGTATGAACTGTAGATATGGTGGAAGCCAGTAATTGAACTTTTTCCAAGAAATATTTAAAAAGATGAAAGTGGTTTACTAAATATATAGAGGATGTTCTTGTCTTTTCCAAAGGATATATAATTATTTGTTACTCTTTCCTCCGTTTTTTATGTTTTTCCCTAATTATTTTTCACTTACTGATCTAACCATTAGATTAAGAGAAATGCATAACTGATGTTTAATAAGCTTCTCACTGAATGATAGTTGCTGAACTTCCAGCCATTCAGCCTTTTTGATCTAAAGAGGTCAGTGCTGCTCAATCTGCTGAAAGCATTCTGTTTGCCAAGAATTTGGAGTTTAACAAGCAAGGGCATCCCTAGTTTTCTGCGCTAACATCACAGCTTTGGCTTGCATGTCTGTGTGTCATAAAGCTCTTTTTCTCATCTCCTGAGGCTCAAATTTTCCAATAAGGATAATATTGGTAAATTATTCATTGATCCATAATAGTATCCATCAATTTATAATGTTCATTTTGCTTGATGAAAGCCTCAAGTGCCATAGTTGGGATGCTGAGAGATTCTAGTTCATATTATCAGCCATAAGATTTCATTGCTGCTGATTTACCTATAGAAGATGACTGATGATGATAACAAATAGATTTAGATGATGATTATGCTAATTAATTTTGTATTCATACTTTTCATAATTTATGTTTACAATATTATGTTCAGGACACAAATTTGACTCAGGTAGTAAAGTGGGTTACTTAATTCATTTGTCTGGTTTCCCTTGTTATTGCTTGCAGTTAAGCTCGCTCAATCTCAAGGCACTGTTCCTGTCCAGCTTTTCAGGAGTTCTTCTGGATCTTCTTCTAGCACTGGTAATTAGTGTTTAGCTCTAATTAGCTGTAGCTTTGAACCATGTGCTATTATTATTCGTGTTAATTTTGTAACTTACAGGTCAAGTAATTTCAGCAGTAAATGCACCTGGTCAGGCTTCCAGTGTTCCTTGTAGACCATCTCTTAAGAGGGATGCAGCTGAATCTCCTCTGGCTACTTCTGAGGCTTTGCACAGAAAGGTCAGAGTTACTAGAGCTTCGAGTCAATTGTCTACTCCAAATATGGACCAAATTGCTTCACCTCATGCACCACCACCTCTGGCTTGGACTCCTTCCTTGAGGCCACCCTTTATCCAACCTACTCACCCACGCGTAATCCAGTCTCCTCCAAATGTGGCACAAATTAATGCACCCCATCCAGCTCTGGTTTGGATCCCTCATTTACGCCCACCACCAGTTCAACTTCAAACAGCTCACCAAAACCTAGCCCATTCTGTTTCAAATCTGGCCCAAATGACTCCATCTCACTCACCTCTGGCTTCGACTCCTACCAACCCAGTCCTAGTCCAAAGTGCTCATCCTCGCCTAGCACTGTTTTCTCCAAATTTGGCCCGAGCTCCTCCACCTTACGTCCCATTGGCTAGGATTCCTCGGTCAAGCCCATCGCTAATCCAAACTGTTTTCCCAAACTTGGCCCAGAAGCCTCCTATTTGCCTACCCTTGACCCAAAATACATCTGTTCGACCACCCCTTTCCCGGAATGCTCCTCATGTTCCACCCTTGCCTAGTACAAAAGGAACCGATCGCATAAAATGGCAAGGTATCTCTCAAGAGTTCCATTAAATTTTTTTGTGACAATTGTCTTTAATTGTTGAAATCCATTCTTTTCATTTCCAATTGACACTTTTTTTTTTTTTTTTGCCAGGTTGTTTTTCATGTAGCCTTTATTTATGATGCATGTAGTGTCTTTTTTTCTTGATCATTCCATAGCAGCCTGAATTGGCAAGCAACGTGTGCCTGGCAGGAGTAAGGCCTGCCAGGTTATCTCTGGATAACTATTGTTATCCGATGCTCATTGTTATGCATTAATTTACCTGAGAACTTGCTTGGCCACCAACAGAAGATTTGTGGTGCCTTGTGTACCAATTACCATGGTTTATTGAACACTGAAGATTTGTCCTTCAGCTGGGACAGTTCCTCACGTACGGGAACTGCTTCATCCTGGTTTTGCCCAGACACGTTTCACCTGTCTAATGATATAGGCACCTGACAGCAGAGGCAGTGTTCAATATAATATAATCAGACTCATACTACTACTAATGTGCTTGGATATTATTGACGTTAGCAATGATTTGGATGATTATATCCGTGATACAAGTAATGATGATACTCTTTATTGCAGATCCAGAAAAAACTCCTAAACTAAGCGGACACCAGTGTTTTATATGCAAGAGGGATCTCTCATTCACTCCCGAAGGGCCAGTGGAACAACCAGTGAATCCACCTCCTGTTGCTGTCTTGCCATGCCGCCACCACTTTCATGCTTTCTGCTTGGAGCGTATTACTACCAGAAGCGATGCTGAGGATCCTCCATGCATCCCTTGTGCCTTGGGTGACAAGAACTAACTCTCATCATGATCATTCATGCTCTCCTTCCCCCCCCCCCCCGGTTCCCTTTTTTTTTCAATTTTGATAGCATTTGTCTCGATACAGTGGAGAATAGCGACCATTTTAAATAGCTAGTTGTAATTCATGTGACTGAAAATAGCAGATGACATTACTAACATTAATTGACTAACTACACCATTATAAAGTGAATAAAGTAGAGGACCTCTTCGATCAATAAAATGGATCCTTTAACCATTCTATAGCTCAAGTAATTTTCCGAAATTCTGGACAGGGTGCATCAAGAGTTTGCTTGTGCTTGCTGTCTCATGATTTTTAAGTACATTCAAGTTTTTTTCCCTTAATTTATTTTAATACTAACCTACATCATCTTGCGTCACCCTAAAGAACAAGCACGTTTTACAAAACCCTTAAAATTTCCTCCAATTTAATCATACTCAATTTGTTTATACCATTAGATTTTTGTTTTCCAATCATGTCTGTGATGAAGACACATGCAAGCATGCGAAACTGGATTAATCCCTAAGCCCAGCCCAGCCCATCCTGCCAATGGTTCATGTTAATCCTAAGCCCTACTACGATTTTAACCCACCAACCAAACCAAGACATGAAGTCAAGATCATGAGAAATCATGAAAGGAGCTACTGCACTGGTCAGTTTTTCCTCATAGAAGGGTGGTTGAAAGACTAGCGGAGTAAATTATAAATTAGTCCCTCTCTTTTCGAGAAATGAATTAACTAATCTTCTTGGTTTTAAAATGTAATCATTTAATCTTTTTAACTAGTATTAACTACGATAAATTTAATATTTTTTAATTTTATAAAATGTTTTCATCAATCATTCCATAATTTTTATTTATTTTTTTCTTTTCTATTTCTTTAAAAAAATAACAAAAAGGACTAAATGATGGGTTGTGAAATAAAAAAGACTAATTAATATGTTTCTGGAAAAGAGAGGGACTAATTTATAATGTACTCTGGATTAGTGGGTGCATATTGGCGTTTCTGATTTGAGTCTGCTAACTTTCACGGAGAATCCAATCTCCAAGAAATTTCCACCTTCCGAGAAAAAATTCCTCGTGCACCATGGGATATGCTTTCCTCACAAAGGATGGTATCAAAGCTGGGAGTAGAATATGATTTGGAACAACTATTTCAGGAAATAAAAATACAGGAGAAAACAGACACACAAAACAAATGGCAATAAAAAAATAAAAAAAAACGATGCTAAATGAGATAACACGTGGAAGAAATTCAAAACATAGAGCAAATGAATGGATGAACGAACTAAAGTACAGAGACACAGGCTGAGGTCATGGGACCCACATAGACAGACAACTGTTGGCTTAATATCTTCCACCCTACAGCTAAAATCTCCACCGTTCAAAAAATAAGAATATAGAAAATTCCAACAACAACGTTGATGCTACCGTCATCAGTTATGACCCAAAAAATGGATCAACTATATTTTAATCCCTTTTTATTTAGTATTATTCTAATTTGTTCCTTAAATATCTAAATTTCTCAATATGAACCCTATAATTTCCCAAAAGTTACAATGTAATTCGTTGACGTTAAATACCTAAGAAAGGCTTGCACTAATTATGGTCTAACTCTGTCAATTAGGTCTGCGCTGCGAATTGAAGAGCTTAAACTTTAATTTTATTTTTTTCTTGATTATTTTCTTAATTTTTCTTTCCCTAAATTCCTTTTTTTTTTTTTTTTTGTGACGGTATTCTACCAAATCTTTTTTTTTTTTAAAAAAAAAACAACTTAAAATACTTGAAAAAAGAAAATGATCCCCGTCTTTAGTTGTCATTAGCTACATGTATTTTTTTGTCTTAAAAATATTTTTTTCTATTTATATAGTTCCAAAATATTTGTATACTAAAAAATTTAAGTGATATAATCTCTTAAAATACATTTAATTAAATTTTATTTTATAAAAAATATCCATATATAATTTTCTAAAAATATTTTAGGAAAGAATAAATAAAATACATTAATATGAAATCATAATTAATAATTTTCTTAAAATATATAGAAAGTCAAAGAAAATAATTATTTGTAGATAGAGGGAGTAGAAAAAAGTTACAGTATATGGGAATGGGAAGTTGTTGAAAGCTAAAAGATTGACAATTGAAAAGGTTTTAAAGTATGAGATCTGAAAGGAACATTGTGAAATCTATGGGGATTGGAATATAGTTTATCCCAAAAATTCGGAAGTGCAAATAACAACAGCAGCAATTATCTTCATATTTGTCATTGGAATTGAATACCAAAGAGAGCAAACAAAATACTAGAAAGAAAGTTGAAATAGACACTACTTGTTATCTTCGTTAGCAAAGAAACCTCTCTCTCTCTCTCTCTCTTCCTCTTTCTATAAGCAAAGAGAGATCTTGTTGTTCTTAGTTCTTGAAAGTTGAAGAAACTCCTCCTTCTTCAATGGAAAAAGAGAACAATAATAATACCAACGATATGAAGATGGTTGAAGTTGAACCTTTGAATGGCTTCTCTCCAGTCTCTTCAACTAGGATCTTTTGGAAATCTAGAAAGAGATCAGGTAGTTCCAATTAAGCTTTATTTTTCATTTTCTTTTTCCTTTTAGCCCCTTTCTTCTCCCTGTTTGCTTTCTAAGAAATTAAGAGAGAACAAGTGAAGGGAGGTGTTTGAATTTAGTCTTGTTTGTTATGTTTGCATGATATCCAAACATATCTATCAAACCCATAACATGAAATCTGAAATTAGTAAAAAAAAAAAAAAAAAACTAATTATTGTTGCATGTTCTTGAAAGATCTGTGTCAAAGAGTTCATTTCCAAACATTTCGAAGCTTAATTCTAACATTTCTTATGAGAACAAGAACAAATCCTTTGATTACAGTAATGTTCACGATTATTAAAACAATCTTCTATCTCCACACAGCAGAGAGGGAGGCAAAGATGATAGCTTTGACATTTGTTACTTAATTAGAAAGAGAGAAAACAGTTTGATATGACTTCTTGTGCTTTTTTCTTTTTTTGTTACACAAGACTTGTTTACTTCGCTGGTACGTTAATTCATTAGGTTTGGTTGAGTTTGGGTTACCAATCACTCTCTCTTTCTTATTCTTATTATCATTATTATTATATCCATTTTCTTTTTCTGTAACTTTTCCTTTTGTTATTTCTTACAAGATCTCACCAAAACATCTCCAATTATTAAGGCTGGTATCCTGTTTGTGTTTCAACTTTTTGGTGTGTGGATTTTATAATTCGAGTCAATCTCTTAGTCACCTAACCCATGGCCTACCTCTCCTGGCCTTAGGGCTGTAGGAAATTTGCAATTAATTTTTGTCAGGGCAAAAGTGACCACCTTCTTACATTTTCGGTTTATTACTCATACTTAACCAACTTCATCTAATGGGGACATTTTTTATAGGTTAATCTGAATTGTAATAAAGGCAGCTTCAGCTAACAATTTTGGTTGATGGATCTGTGATTCATCCATTGTAAATGGTATTTTGTTAACCTTGAAATCAACTTCAGCTTATTCGAAATGGAAAAACCAGGTGACTTTAAGAATAGGATGTGATGGTTTCTCTCTTTTTTTTTTTTTTTTTGGTGCATGTCTACTATCGAGAAAAGGGTACGAAAAGGTTCTGTTTTAATAGTTTTCTGGAAAAAGTGATTGTGTTCTCATTTAGTTTGGTACATTTCAATGCTCCTTGCTTGAGTATATCAATGCCAAAGGGGAAAACTTCCTTATGCCCGAAGGAGATTCAATTTACTTAAAGTTTGATTTTAGTTGGTTTCAAAAGAGCCAAGAGTGGATTGTGGATTTATGCAGTTCTCTCTGTGGATGCTATGCTCGTTTATAACATAAAAAAATGTGTGATATGTACCACCATACATGATTAGTCCGGACAGACTACAGTTTTCTGCTGTCTGCGAACATGATAGCATAATTGTTTCATTGTTTATGACTCTCTTTCAAGCTTAAAATGTGGAGGACTGCATATAGTTGTAGTTTATATGTGAATTGTTACTTTTTTTTTTTAGTGCTATGATATGTATAATATAGATCTGCCATGCCTCTAAAATTATTTGGAACTAGAATGGTAACTTCTTTCCAACAGCCAACGGGAGGAGTTCGGACAAGGTAACCGAGAACCCTGCTAATGAAACACCCGACAAACAGGAAGAATTTTCCAATGATGAAAAGATGCAGGACCCAAATACAGCTCCAGATCTTTCTGATCGGCGAAAGGCCCTCTTTGAACCATTGGAACCTGTAACAAATATCAATGGCAAAAGGCCATCTGCAGAATCCCTACTCCCTCCACCAGATTTTGATGCTGCAAGCTATCCCAAAGGCTGGCTGATTGGAAAGAAGCGTAAGCTCGTTAATGTAGATGTCGTTGAGAGTATGAGGAGGATTGCCGTGCAGGAAATGAACAGAAAGGTATTGGTTTTGCATAAACCTAACCCCTCTTAAGTATTGCTTTGACAGCAGCATGTGCGGATTGAACTATCATTGAATTATTCTTGCAGGACCGAGAAATTGATGGCTTAAATGAGCAGTTGGAAGAAGATGCACGGTGTCTAGAACATCTCCAACTCCAACTTCTGCAAGAAAAAAGTAAACGCTCCGAGGTAGAGAGAGAGAATGCTATGCTGCAAGACCAGATATCAATGCTGATGAACATGCTACAAGAAAATGAGCCAATGGGCGATGAAGATCTTGGTGAGGGAGGTCCTGATGGACCTTAAATATTTGTTTGATTGTTTATTTATTCTTTTTGTAGGTTTGTTTGCAAAGTTAGTGAATATATACATGAATATATACGCGGTTTTGACCCAATATCTGTTGAGGTCTTGTTACCGTATTCGTTGGAACTGGTCGCACCCTTGTGCACGCTTCGTGTTGTTTGCAATCGTGTCTCCGTCCTAGCTTGTAAATGTATATAGGCTTCTGGTACTTTGATCATGTGTTGCTGCCTCGCGGCTAATAATATATAGACTCCATAATGCGTCTATCAATTCTTTTACCCCTCAGTTGCTCATTTCTGATTTTATCATTTGTTGTTTGCGTTCACATGTGAGGCTATACTACCGGTACTGGCATGTGACACTGTTATTTCATGCAGCTTTTTTTTTTTTTTTTTGCCTTTTTTCCTATCCATGATTTCTAGTAGATGGCAGGCTGCACTACAGTGGCCACGAAAGATGTTTCCTCAAAATTTCAGCATCCATCTGCCGGAAATTCCCATGATGTGTCCCAAGACTTTGGCAAGGTTGCATTGAAAACGAAAACACCACATTCCATGTATAAAGGTTGTGATCCACTAGAAATTACAAACGCCAAACTTTACATAAATTTTTAGGATTGCAAAAAGTTGTACAAAGAAAACACTACAGCTCAAACACTACGGACAGCGGACACCAGTATCCTATATATGAACATCCCAGGATTCTTCATCAATATACATTTCTGAACCCCCCAAGTCCTACAAGTTGAAAGAGAGAAATTATAACACTATACTGCTTGATTATAACAATCTTCCTATAGATTGAATAAAAACTGTGGCAAAGAGGCAATCCTTGGAAGGTTTAGAAGTAGCTCCCCAACTGAGTCCTTCCTTGACATGGCTGGTGGCTGCTTGCAGATGGAAACATTGCTGGCCTCTCCTTCAAGTACAGGGAAACCCTCTATAAATTTGCTTTGACAAGCCGGCACAGTGACTGAACTAGTTTTATCTATTCTCCCATCATGATCCACGTCAAGATTGTCGAGATTCTTAGGCTGCAAGTCTTGAGCTGTTGCAGGATCCTTTTGGAGCAGAGAGCAGAGAGAATTGACCCTTGACATGAGGGATTGCTCATCCGAGGCTGATGTAACTTGAGTCTCTCCAAGCAAGTATTGAGTAATTTCATCCAGAATGTCACTGCTCTTTATGTCACCACCAGTGCGGATAGAATTGCCAGAGGTCATCTGTTCTGAAATGCAATGTCCAATGTGGTTCACTAGATCGCTCATTGACATGGATGGGTGAAGTCCAGGTACTTTAATTTGGTCCCAGTTGCTCGGCAACTTCTGTTCCTCTGTTCTGTTGCTCTTGATTTCTTCATACGCATGGGTCTCCATTACTAGAAATAAGAGACAGGTTGGAATGATTGGAATGATTGGAATGATTGCAGCAGGCAAGATAAGAATTTAAAACATGCAAATAAATCCACAAGAAGAATGAACACATTTCAAACCACCATTCCAGGTTCTGATCTTAAAAATGCCCGCCATGAAGGTTTAAAAGCTTTATATTGACTGATTATTTGGAACCTTCATCCAACAATTTACTAATTTTAGCAGCTAGCATAACAAAAACACTTTCAAGTTACTTCATAGTTGTTCAATTACAGCTATGGGTTCACATAATGTAGTCAGTTTGCCATTGCCAATAATGCGTTTAATCCGAACTAGTCGACATTCTGTACTACTTACAGTGAGCTAAATCTGACTCCTCACAGTAGTCAACTGGAATGGAATCAGTTAGTGCTCACTGTTCATTCAAACTGCAACAGACATTGGTGGTTTCAATCCACCATTAATTGTTAAAAAAATTGGACATTACAGTAGATCAGATACATCTGATTGCTTCTACGGCAAATTTTTATGTAAAGAAAAGGGTTCTTACAATTTAGAACAGTAGTGAGCAGAGATGCAGCTCAAACCTCACCAAAAAAATAAGACTATAATTATCCAAGATGAAGAGAGCAGTGTGTGTAGATATAATATGCAGGCATGCTTTTACTATCATCTAATACCATCATTTTCATCAATATTTTCAGTTTTAGGATTATAATCTTACCTAAGCTCGCTGAAGAAGTTTCCTGGGAAATATTTTCAGGAGACTGACACATGAAGCCTGGGCATTCGCTATTGAAGGAAGATGAAAGAACTCCAGATGGTGGTCCTGCTTCCTGCAGAGAAAAAACAGCACTTCTTTCCTCAACTTCTGAATCAATCACTTTTCCAGGTTCATGCAAGTCACCAAATGCAGAAACTCGTTGCTCAAAATATGGTGATTCTAATATAATTTCTTGCTGCCGACTGAGAAAGTTGAGACGGGGATCACATTGAATAAGTTTTTCAAAATGCTTGCCCATGAAGCCTTGCTGGCACTGTAGAAAATGTTGCCTGTGTAAGTAGTAAGAAAATCAGCATTTGCAGGTTCAAATCAAATGATAGAGCAAAACGTGAAGGAATTAATCAATAGCAGTGTCTTCTACACATCATAAACAAATTGAATCTTCCAACAATGAAAAATCAAACTTAGTTTAAATCTAGCCAATTTGGTAGTAGGAAAGAGACGATTCATGGTCAAGGCTAAACCATATGGGGTAAAGAGGGAAAGACCACTTGATAATGATTACAGCATGTTAGAAATCCTGAACAGAAAGGTTGATCCCTCCACATCAGATGGGCATAGGATTCTACTATAACCAACAAGGGACAGTACTTAAAAGAGTTTTGATGAAAATTATAGAAGTCCACTGATCTCATAGACAAGATGCATTGTCATCTGACTGGACTGCAAATCATCTTAGAACACTAAGACCATCCAAAATATAACTAAGAAATCCGATTTACTAGATGGACCGATCAATACTTCAGATTCTATCACCTGAGACGATGCTAAATTCCAATAGCCTGAGCCAATCTGATGTGGAGAAGCATCTCCCATAACGTTACATAATGGAGAAGCAAATCCAGACGGCTGTGCAAAATAAAACAGTTTTCATAAAAAATAAAGTCAGGCTCATTTTTTCTAGACCACCTCGTTTAGAAGCCTAATTGTCTAAAACTGGAAGGAAAGAAGAGCAAATAGGACCATACATTCCCAGAGTATAAGGCGAGAACATTGAATCATTGAAAACCCTTTGCAGCATAGCAGAATCATGTGATGAATTTTAAAGCCATGTATAATAATACTATAGTGTGTTCATTTGTATGTACTCACGTTTTTCCATGAGAAATAGAAGGGGGCAAAATCATTGGGCTACGCAGAGAGCAAAAAATCACAGTTCATGATATAATAAAAAGCACCAACATTGGGGTCCCCAGATACGGCAATCCATGAGGCAACGAAATATATGCAAATCCCCTCAAATTTACAGAAGCTTAAACGAAGTATCGGTACCTGTGTATGCTTGCTTGTCCACCAGTAAAATCTGATGTTGCCTGCCACAAAGTATGCTTCCTAGGTTGTGGATTTGTCTCTCTAAAGAAAAGGGGTTGTCTAGCCAGCTGCAACAAACACATACGACCCTCCATCACCACCATCATTTTTAAGATTACGCTTGTGTGTGTGTGTGTGTGTGTACACACGCCAATAAAAGGGGAGTATATTATACAAGTATATGATTTTGGTCAAGAGAGAAAGTAAAATACCACTACATCCAAGGTTTCAGGTCCATCATCAGGAAAATTTGCCTTGAGAGCCACAATATCTGACCACTGAATTTCAATCTTATTCTTAAGACCACCATCAAGAACTTCCCAAACAAGTTTATGCTTAGCAAAATAACACTTTGCCACCAAATCCCCTTCATATCTTGACTTATACTAAGTCAACCAAAAAAAAAAAAAAAAAGATCTTCAGAAAAAAGGAACCGAATAAACACCAAATACCCAATTACAAATGTAAAGAGATCAACTTGGATACCTCCCAACTCCCTATTTTTAGAAGTGAAGCAGGAAAGTTTGAAGCTTTAAGCTTATCGGCAGCAACAGCAGCAGCACTTGGTTTCTTTGACAGCATAGTATTACTTGTGTTTTTTTGAGATAACTTCATTTGAATCAAATCCAAAAAAGATGGGCTCTTTTTCAGTGTCAAACCAATGGGACTTGGCTCTTCAAGTGGATTATACACTACGGCATCTAGGTTCATCGCCTGCCGTCAAATGAATGAATGAATCAATCAATCAAGAAATCAAAACACCATAATTAAATCCAACAATAGAAACTCAAAACACAAACAAAAAGAAGATCAGATATTTAGTTCGGTTTGGTTATTGAGAAAGTTGGAAAAAAAGAGGAAAGAGAGTAAAACCCGTAAAGAAGGATCAAGTTTTGAACGTTTATGAAGTGGACTGAGTTGATCCTCTAAAGAATCCTCAGCTTCCAGCTTCACTGCTGCTTTTTTGCCTAAGGAACTCATTAACTGAACCATCTGAAACCTTTCGTTTTTATAACTCAGTGAGTTAACCCAGATACTTCAATGAACAGAATCAGTCTCGTCCTTCTCTACAACGCTCAGCTGAAGCAATAAAACGGGCTTCTATAGTAGTTTTCTGTTTCTTTTTTATATTGGCTGTCACGTGCCTGAATAGGATCGGCACGTGTTCGTATCCAGTCAAATGGGAAATAGATGATTTGTAGCATGACGACTATACCCTTCAAATGAGAAGTCATGTGAGTTTCGATGGAGGGTGGTTTCGTCATCCGGGTCGTTTGGTGGGTAGATTGACATCATGTGGTGTCTCTGTCACGTGACATACACGTGCGCTGTTTTTTTTGTTTATGGATAAGTGTGGGACCCAGTTCATGAACCTTCTACACGAGTTGTCTTTTGTCGTTTTTGCTATTTTTCCTATAAAAGGAAGGGCTGCGATTGGTTTGAGGTGAAACGTGTAATAATCTGGTGGAGTGGGAAGGACACGTAAGTGTATTTTCTTCTATAAAAAAACGAGGATGCTTTGTGGATAAGAATTTTCAAGTTGGATTTGCCATCCTTTGTTGACTACTGATCTTACCTTTTCCCTCTTTCTAACCTTCTGTTCGGAAAGTGGAGAATATAAAGGTTAATCAAATTCAAATTTGAAGATAATTTTTTTTATTTTAGATTAATGGAGGTATATTTTTATGCTAGTTTACTAAATCTCTTATGATAAATTACAGGATTTTGAAAATGGGATAAAATATTTAAACTCAAAATAGAATTATTCAAACTCTACGTACCCTTTTTTTAAAGAAAATTTCTGTTTATTATTAAAATGCTAATTTTATTAAAATCTATTTACTTGTTTCTCGTATAGGTTTTTTTTTCCTTTTATTTGATGGTAAACTTGAAAAATTTACGACTATTTTTTTTTTTCTGTATTAAGACTCGGATATTAAATTACTCAACTATATTTGAATTAATATATTTACAAAAAAATATATTTTTGGAAGAATATTTTTCAAAAATTTCTAAATAACAGCTCGGTCTCTCAAATTGCTAACATATCTTTAAATGGTTAATAGTGATGTAGTTGATCTAACTTTTTATCTTCTAATGAATCAGGAATGTATAATACGCATACGAGCTCATGTTACGAGTTTAACTTACATTCTTTAATGGCAACTTTTTTTCTTTTTTTCAGCATCATGAAGTTGAAAGACTCTCGAATTAAATTCGAGCCTATCAGTTTGATATAAGTTGGATCGGTTCCATCTATCCTTGTTGATCCCGAATCATTAGCCAAAAACTTTACAAATAACTCATTTTCTTCCTAAATAAAAAAAAATGGTATTACATACATTAGATTTTCTTTAAAATTAATTGAGTAATTTATTTAATTTTTATTTTATATTAATTCTATTATATTTTTTTTATATTGATATCGGTCTAAACTTCACAACAAATGAATTGAATTAAAGATGAACTTAATTTATCATAAAATTTTGGATCACAAGGATGAGCACGAGTGTTTTAAAAAAGTTATTATTCATATCTTATTTTTTAGATGCATTAGTGAGATTGATTCGATAGACTCGAAGTAGTGTTCATTAAAAAAAATTCAATTGTTACTTTTTACAACATCTCGCTAGCAAATTAAAATAGTTTAGCCTAAAAAAATTAAATATTTCAAGTCAAATTTAGGCTATACAAAATTGAGTGACGTGGCATGATTTTAATCTTCAGTGACCATTTTTTCACTACAAATATCAATATCATTTTATTATAAAAAAATAAAAAATTTTGTATTAAAAAACTTTTAATCTTTTTTATAAAAAAAACTTACGAATTCTCCGTCTCAAAACTTTTCGACTTACACACTAAACAACACTTACCAACCAATCAGTCAACCAATCATTTGATCAATTATCCATAACTCTCTTCTTCGACCATAAATTAGAACATGCTTTAATCATAGCTCATTGACTTATTAATCACAAGGAGATGCAAACAAGAAGACGAGCTAAGTATTTTAGCTTACAAGATAAGTTAATAGTTATATATTGAGTAATCAACTTATGCTCCAACTAGAATATTTTTTAAATTACTTATAACGTCATGTTTTGCAGATGATTATTAAATATTACCTGTACGTGGGGCAATTGTTATATCATGCACGATTCCATCCACAGAAGGTCCATGGTTGTAAATCCTTGGGTCTGCTTTGGACTCTCCTCATTCTGGGCTTAAAGCTTATAGTTTCTTCCTTGACATACGTATTGTCACATTTGGGCCGAAGCCCTCACGATTTGATCTACCAAAAACCATACTTTTTATGATGAGAAAATGCTCATCAGCACCAAGGTCCAAGGAACATGTGTGTTCAGCCTTCAGGTTGCATCAATTTTTTTTAATAACAATCATTAAACCTGAAATTATTAAGGGGGTAAGAATTAGTTTTCAAGAGGTTTAATTTATTAATAAACAGAAGTATATTATTAGTAGAAAGAAAAAAAATGATTAACATGCCCGTCTTACGTTTTTATCGTTAAAAAAAAAAAAAAAACTATATATGAAAAAAGTCTGAAGCCTATAAACTTTCGATTCTATTTCAAATCTCAATAGATTTTGTACATGTTGATGATAATACGAGTAATGTTAATTTTACATAATTTTCTTACAGAATTAACTTACTAAAAAGTATTAACAATCACATGGATATCTCATATATTAAATAAATAGATTTTGGTAATTTAGAAGCGAATGAATGTGGGGAAGTGGCTGGCTAAAATGGAATTTAAATATAAGGTATAAACGTTGTGCAGGGAGCAGGCCTGGCCCTTGAACGAGAGAAGTCAGAAGACCATTCCATTGATGGATCAATAAAAGAAAACTGATTAAGCCTCATTTTAGGACTTGGTTCTTTCCTTAAAAATAGGGAAAAGGTAGTTAATTAATGTGGAAAGTGTTGCTAAAGATGATAGTACCGTGTTATGCAAGGATCGATTTCTAGACTATATTTTGGATTTCATTTTTTTAATCAGTATTTTTAAAAATTTATTTTTAAAACATCTAAAACTATGCGTTTGAGAATATTCTTTAGTTAAGTTCAAGAAAACATTAATCAGGAGATATGTGAAAGCTGGTATAGAAATATCTTTCTTGTTGAAAAAAAAAAAAGTGTTGCTAAGAATGCAATTATTTAACGACAGTTGAGGTTTTTTTCAATAAAAGAAAACTGATTAAGCCTCATTTTAGGACTTGGTTCTTTCCTTAAAAATAAGAAAAAGGTAGTTAATTAATGTGGAAAGTGTTGCTAAAAATGGTAGTACGATGCTATGCAAGGATCGATTTGTAGACCATATTTAGGATTCTATTTTTCTAATTAATATTTTTAAAATATTCAAAACTATCAATTTAAGAGTGTTCTTTAGCTAAGTTCAAAGAAGGATTAATCACGAGATATGTGAAAGTTGATTTAGTGATATCTTTACTGTTGAAAAAAAAAAGTGTTGCTAATAATGCAATTATTTAATGACAGTTGAGGTTTTTTTCGATTTTTTTATTTTTTTACGCAGTAACTCAATTTGCTCTACCACTGCTATAGTGGGGTTCCATATTCGTTAAGGTTAATCTATGTAGACGACTTTAGTCTATAATTGTGCTTTGGTGTGTTTATTCAGAAATTCTGACAATACATTACCTATTGCGCAAATTTGGAGAGGGACACTACTGTGCACGCTAGTTTAAAGTTAAAACAAAAAATATAATAATATTCAATTGAAGCTATGGTTTAGATGAACTAAATAGGAATCAATGGATAGAACACTCCAAGGTATTGCAGGTGATCTAATAAATGTTGGTACATATATAGACTTAAATTGTGCCTCATGTTAGTGTAGTTTGTATGGAAAGAAGGAACAAGAATTATACACTATATTGAAAAAAAAAAACTTTTTTACTAATAAGTTGTTAGTAATAAATGAGCTGATTTCTAAACAAATTTTAATTCGAATTTTAGCTTTATGCTCATTAAGAATGATTAAATTTTATTATTTTCGTTCTAAACAGAATTAGTTAAAAAAAAATTCATTGTAAAAAATTAAATTGATTCAATAGTAGATGATCATTCTAATGGGTTACCTGATAAACTCTTGAAAGATCTCATATATAGATATTTTATAATATTAAAAAACTATCATTAGCATAAAACTTTCTTTCTATATAGAAATATTTTAGCATCAGTATAATGTCCATGACCCTCGCATTTATTAGAATTACTATTTTATTAAAATTTAATTATCTTAAAAGTCATCAAACATTACATTGGTGCATGGAAAGAAAGAAAAAGAATTATATCCTTTATTAGAAAGAAATGCTTCCTTATCAATAAGTTGTTAGTACAATAATAAACGAATTGGTTTTCATACGAATTTTATTAGTGTATAATATTCAAATTTTAGCATTGCACTTTTTAAAAATGATTAAACTTTATCATTTTTGTTTCGAACACAATTAATTATAAGAATTTGTTTTTACAGTGTAACAAATTAAACTAATTCAATAGTAGATAATCATTCTAGTCGGTTACTTGATAAACTCTTGAAAGATCTCATATATATATATATATATATATATTAAAAAACTAGCACTTAACACTTAGAAAATAAACACCAATATAGCATAAAACTTTCTTTCTATGTACAGATATTTTAGCATCCGTAGAATGTCCATGACCATCACATTTATTAGAATTATTATTTTATTCAAATTTAATTATCTTAAAAAGTCATAAAACATTACATTGATGCATCACGGATATTAGATTTACTATTTTTAAACTCAATATTTATCCTAAAAGTCATCAACATTACACTAATTAATACTCTAATCATCGACATTCTAGACTTTCCCAAGCAAAAGAAAATTCAAAAGTAAAGTCCAAAGGGTTTCCATCCATCTTGTAATAAGGTTGTTTAGAGGGGAAAGCAATAGAGGAATGTCTAATCAAATAATTATGACTCGTAAGATCAAGTTGATTGTTATCCTATTGGTTCGCAAAACACAAGAATCTAAAGTTATGTGCATAGATATGATGCACAAGTACCCCCACTATCGAAAGGGACAATAATCAAAACGCAGAAAATGCTTCAACATCTCTCTCCCCTCTCTCTCTCTCTCTCTCTCTCTCTCTCTCTGCAAGTTGTGACAGTTGATTCCGCGATGGGTGAGTCCTTATCTCAGCAAACCAATCAAATCGATGTAAATATCACAACTTCTTCATTTCCCACCATGTCCACTACTAGCTGCGAACACAGTAACGCAAAACCCTTTTTTTGTTGCCAAGAATTTGCACGTGAATCTACAATAATTTCTCATGCACCAGTGGGGTCCTTTGGCCAGCTATTTCTCTTTTGTTCTCTTGCCAAACTCCAACTCGTAAGAATCTCCCTCCCTTCTCCCTCCATCCTTCCCTCCCACTCTCTTTCTCTCAAACACATTCAGATAAACATAGCTAAGATTCTTTCTTTGTTCTTTTTTTGTTCTTGGCAACTCATAATTTATTATCTTTCTCCACTATCATCAAAATGGTGCAAGCAAGACCTCTTCTTCCATCACACCTCTTTCTTCTTTCTCTTCTTGTTTTTCTCCTCACAGTTTTTGATAATGGAGTTCAATGCTCTCAAGGGAAGAAAGTCCTTATCATGCAGAAATTTCAGTGGAACCAGGAGAGTAGTATTTCAACTTGTCTCTCCCAAAAATCAAGTGAGTAGCGAGCAAAGTAAAAAGAAAAGTCTTAAAGAATAGTTTGGCCAACGGTGACCAAATCTTTTTTTCAGCTATATATATATATATACAGTTTCTTTATTTATCTGTTCTCCACTTTTGGGATCTATACTTACTTTCCTTTTATGCCAGCACTATCTAGAACTCATTTCATGCTTTATGGGAAACATCCATCATTAGTAAGCCTTATCTTGGCTTTACTTTCTTTTCCTTTGTATAATGTACTCCATTGTTGGATTGTTTATGATTCTTAAAAAATATTTGAAAATTTTCATACTTATCCCCCCACCCTAAAACTAACTGTTTTGGATCATTGGAGATCAAAATAATACAATATTGTTTCTTTAGTGAGACCTAATGCATCCAAATACAATCTTCATTTGTAATTAATTATTTTCTCTGCTTGCAGGTAAAGTTACACTAGCATCTAATTTTTAGAATTAATATATACAAGTTCAGTGCCAAAATATGATGAACTAACATTCTCATTTTGTTTGGAATTTAAAGGATGGGAGAATGGAGCAAACATATTGGAAATGAAGCACAAAGATTCCTGCTCAGGAAAGATCTTAGACTGGAACGAGAAGCTTCAAAAACACTTGATCATGGATAACTTTCAGCTTCGATCACTTCAATCTAGAATGAAAAACATCACTTCTGGCCGAAATATTGATGATTCAGTGGATACTCAAATCCCATTAACTTCTGGGATAAGACTTCAGACACTAAACTACATAGTTACAGTGGAATTAGGTGGTCGAAAAATGTCAGTGATTGTGGACACTGGAAGTGAGTTGAGTTGGGTTCAATGTCAACCTTGCAAAAGATGTTATAATCAACAAGACCCTGTTTTCAACCCTTCAGCATCTCCTTCATTCCATACAGTTTTATGTAATTCATCAACTTGTCAGTCCCTGCAATTTGCAACTGGGAATTCAGGAGTTTGTGGGAGTAACACTCCGAATTGTAACTATGTTGTTAACTATGGTGATGGGTCCTACACACGAGGTGAGCTAGCTATGGAACATCTTAATTTAGGAAACAGTACTACTGTCAACAACTTCATATTTGGCTGTGGTAGGAACAATCAAGGTTTATTTGGTGGAGCTTCAGGCCTTGTGGGATTGGGAAGGAGTGATCTCTCTTTGATTTCTCAAACTTCACCCCTGTTTGGAGGAGTTTTCTCCTATTGTTTGCCTATAACAGAAGCTGAGGCTTCAGGTTCTCTAGTCATGGGTGGAAATTCCTCAGTTTACAAAAACACAACTCCAATTTCATACACTAGAATGATTCCCAATCCACTACTGCCCTTCTATTTTCTCAATCTAACTAGCATTACTGTTGGTGGGGTGGCATTACAAGCGCCAAGTTTTGGTAAAGGCGGAATTATGATTGATTCTGGGACAGTTATTACAAGGCTTCCTCCTTCAATTTACCAGGCACTAAAGGGTGAGTTTGTGAAACAATTTTCAGGTTTTCCTACTGCACCAGCTTTTCTCATTTTGGATACTTGCTTCAACCTTAGTGGATATCAAGAGGTTGAGATTCCAAACATAAAAATGCACTTTGAGGGAAATGCTGAGCTCAATGTGGATGTAACTGGGGTTTTCTATTTTGTTAAGACTGATGCATCTCAGGTCTGCTTGGCTATTGCAAGTCTCTCGTATGAAAACGAAGTTGCTATAATTGGGAATCAACAACAGAAAAACCAGAGGGTTATATACGATACCAAGAGGTCTATGATGGGATTTGCTGGAGAAGCTTGTAGTTTCGATTAGGTCGATGATTCGAAGTATTAAGATCAGGTGTGTTGCTGTGCATATATTTATTTGATGCAACGCCAACTGTTCATGTTGGCAAAGAAATCATCAAGCAGTAGTTTTTCTTATTTCTCACATATAAATATCTATTGTCATCCATAGGGGAAAGGTATAGAATATGTAAATGCCATTTCCAATTTCTCAATAGTGTTCCTATAGTGCAGTCCCAACACGGCAAAGATATCTTCTGTATATTTAGCCTATTTTTTTTCATGTAAGATCTGTTTGAGCTTAGGAAAGGATGCAGAATCACTCTAAAGAAGGTTAATGTGGTTATATAATTGCATACTCTTATATGCTCTGTGAATCTAAAGACGATTAACTGATGAATGATTTTGATATTTCACAATTTTCAAAGACTAAAATACTAGGTGGGAAATTGATAAGAACCCACAACCAAACAAAGAAGAGATAGAGAAAGGAACGACAGAATAATGTAGGGAATGAGAAATGATGAATAATACTGATTCTTTATTGAAGTAATAGGTCTGATGTGTCCTCTGTTACAATGGCAATAAGGAAAAAAGATAATGGCAGCCATTCTAGAGGCTACCTTTCTTCCACTCTCTCAACAAAGAATATTTTCATAACAAACTTATGGTCCCTCCTTTTTCCAACCTTACACTCCCTCCATATATATGTATAGTAAAATACATATATGTAACAAACTCAATATAGCATATTCCAAGAATTCTGTCATCGGCAGCTGGCCTAACAAACTTCCTTCACTCGGTGGCAGTTGGACCTCTCTTTCCTCGTTTTGTGTAAACTCGCACGCCGGGGGCCTATCAATACTTCCCTCATGGAAAGACCTTGTCCTCAAGGTGGAATTCGGAAATTGCTTATTGATCAGCTCATATGTTTCCCAAATTGCCTCAAAAGCGAGAAGGTTCTTCCATCCAATAAGTACTTCTAGACCTTCATTGCCCACTCTAGTGTCTAACATCGACTCGAGCTCTACGAGCCATTGCATTTGATCGATCAACACATAAGGAAGAGGTCGTGAAGTGGTGGTCTCGCCAACGAAGACGTTTTAGTCATGAAACATGAAAAACGGGGTGGATAGAGGTGGAGCTAGGTAGATCCAGACTTATAAGCGATCTTACCAATGCGCCGCAAAATCGTGTAAGGGCAAAAAAACGAGGAGAGAGCTTCTCGTTTGTTTTTCGAGCAAGAGATTGCAGCCTATAGGGTCGAGTTTCAAGTAAACTTGATCACCAATATGAAATTCCACTTCTCGATGATGCTCGATCAACTCTCCGTTTCATAGCATTCGAGCAAGCAACAATTGCTCCCTTAATTCGGAGATCATGACATCTCTTTCGAGCAACATGTCCTCCAAGTTTGAGTTAGAGGTGGGAGCAACGGAGTCATACCTAAGCAGAGGGGAGAGTCTCTACCGTATACTAGTTTAAAAGGGGTAGACTTGGTGGATGTATGATAGGAGGAATTAAACTAATATTCTACCCATGACGACCGGTTACATTAGATTTTTTATCGCGAACTTGCAAAACATCGAAGGTAAGCCTCCAAGCATCGATTAACCATTTTTCTTTGGCCATCGCTTTACGGATGGTAAGCGATCTTGCGGTTCAATGAAGTGTGCTTGCAAGTGAAATAACTCCATCCGTAAATGACTCAAAAAGATCTTATCTCGGTCCAATACAATGGATCGAAAAAAACCATATAGTTTTACCATATTGGACGAGAATTCTTCTGCTACCTTCCTAGTTGTGTAAGGGTGCTTCAAGGGAATAAAATGACTATACTTGCTTAATCGATCCACAACTACCAAAATGGAGTCATACCCTTAGGATTTAGGCAAGCCGTCCATAAAATCCATCGAGATGTCTTCCCAAATGGCATGTGGCACGAGAAAAGACTAGAGCAACCCAGCTGGAGACAAGGTCTCTTGTTTGTTCTATCGGTATACTTGGCGAGAAGCAACAAATTGCTTTTCATCGATTTTCAACCCCTTATAATATAATTCTTGAGAAATCAGCTTATAGGTCTTTAGGAACCCATCGTAACCTCCAATCGGGTTGCAATGAAATTCGACTAAGAGGCCGACCTTAAGAGAAGAGTTGACAGAGATTGCCATCCGTCCCTTATAAGCACGAATCGTCCATGATGAAGGGTCCATCCCGGTTTTGCATTCGGATCTTCCTTAAGTATGGCAATTACCTTCGCAGTACTGTTGATCTTGGTTGATTTCAAATGTAATGGTGGCCTAATCCAAAAGCATCGGCATGAAAAAAGAGTGATTTTCAGCTACGAGTATGTACTTTGAGAGGGCATCTGCAGCTTAGTTTTCGCTACCCAATTTGTACTCGAATCTCAAAATCATAGCCCGAAGCTTGGTGAGCCATTTTTGGTGTTCGAGTACAACCAATCTCTCGCTCAAGCAAATAGCGAAGGCTCCACTGGTCGGCTCGTACAATGAAATGTCTCCCCAATAAATAATGACGTCATTTTTGAATGGCAAACACAATGGCCATAAGCTCTCGTTCATAAACGGACTCGAGGCGGCTCTTCTTGTCGAGCTTGGCTGAAAAATGCAATAGGCCTCCCATGCCGAGATAGAATTGCCCCCATACCAATCCCCGATGCATCCGTTTCAACCAAAAACGCTCACCAAATTCGGGTAGTGCCGAATGGGAACCGACTTTATGGCATCTTTCAACTACTCGTACTACCTCGGTTGTTTCCTCTCCCCAAACAAAATAGTCCTTTTTAGCGAGTTGGGTAAAAGGAGTCGTAATCTTTCCATACCCATGGACAAACCTCCGATAGTACCTCGTAAGGCCTGAAGCCCGGGAGCTCCTTTAGGTTTTTTGGGATAGGCCATTCGTTTATGACTCGGACCTTTTCGGGATCAGCTTGAACTCCTTCCCTTGAAATAATATGGCCCACGTACTCTAGCTGGTCTTGACTAAAACAACACTTCTTTAAGTTAACGAATAATTGGTGCTCCCGTAGAATTGTTAGCACTTTTCTCAATTGCCCTACATGATCGATCAAGGAAGCACTCGTAAACTAAGATATCGTCAAAGAACACCAAGACATACCTCCGAATGAGATTTTTAAAGATTGAGTTCATTAGTGTCTAAAAAATGGCGAGGGCATTGGTCAATCCAAACGGCATGACAAGAAATTCATAGTGTCCCTCATGAGTTTGAAAAGCAGCTTTATGGGTGTCTCGAGGTCGCATCCGTATTTGATGGTATCCTAACCTAAGTTCTTACTTTGAGAATACACGAGCTCCATTGAGTTCATCCAATAGTTCATCAATGTTGGGAATTGGGAACCTATCGTGGACTCGTTGCTTTGTTCAACTATCGTCTTTCTTTTTTACTAGAAATACCGGGCTTCGAGAAATGGCTAAGTACTCGCTCTAATGATCTCTCGCTTCCAACATTTCTCCTACCAACCTTTCAATCTCATTTTTTGGATGTGGGGATATCGATAGACGTATATTGATTGGCTCGTGCCCTCTTTAAGGATAATAGAATGGTCAAAATCCCGAATGGAAGGTAACTCGGTAAGGGCACCAAACGGATCTTCAAACTCCCCAACAAGAAACTAACCTCGGGAGCAATTTAACCGTCCTCTCGCCTATTCTAAGGCCGAAACATGGCATATTTCCAACAACAATCCTTCTCTCTCTTATTGAAATGGTCTTCACCATTGACTTCGATGAAACTAGAGCCTTGCTCAAACTAGGATCCCCCTGCAACATCACCCGTTTTCCTCCTAACTCAAAGGTCATTGTTAGGCGTTTTCGATCGACTTGGGTGACCCCCAACGTTGCCGCCCATTTCACTCCTAAAATGACGTCGCATCGTTCATCGTCGGAGGTAAGTAGTCCTCAACAATGGTGAGGTCTTGTAGTCGTAATAACACACTTTTACAAATCCCCTTTCCCTTCATCTCGTTGGCCATTTCCCACTATAACTTCATAGTTCACAGTATCCAAAATTGGTAAGTTCGACTTCTCCACCAAAGCTTGAAAAATAAAATTATGGGTCACCCTATAATCAATCGACACTACCACAGGTAGTGCCCAAGATCCGCCTACATAGCTTTAAGGTTCATGGTTCGGATAATCCCACTACCAAGTTCAAGGACAACTCCACTCCCTCGAAATCGCCCTCGCCTATCCCTCGCTGCTAGTGTATCCTCCACTCCCTCACTCGCCCTCTCGGCCTTCACTAACCAATAGTACGTGGAGCTCTTTATTTTTGCAATGATGGCCAATATGCCATGTCTTGTCACATCTATAACACAACCCCTTTTCTCTCTTAGCTCGAGCTTCGGTGGTCGTCGATCTCTTGAATTGAAAAGGTGATGTGTTGTGGGTTGATTGTCTCCGGTCATGGTGAGGTGGGTTTGTCCAAAGATTTGCGATAGATTGTGTTTTTGGTTACGAAAATTGATGGTGGTTGATAGTGTTCGGATAGGTGAGGTAAGTTTGTTTAGTAGGGGTCCAAGAGATGGTTTTGTTTTCGGGTTTTATGCGGATTAAAGGGGGCTCTTTGGGCTTGGGTAATGGGCCAATGATTTGATTCTTCCTTTCAATGCGGGTTGTGGTCCGCATTGTTTCTTTTAGGCTCGTGGGGTTTAGCATGAAGAGCTCGGCTCTTATTCGTTCATCTAAGCCATCGATGAACATTGATGTCATGGTTTCTTCATCCAGCCTCCCGATTGAAGCTCGCAACCAACTCGAAACAAGCTCGATATTTCGCCACCGTGCTTGTTTGCTTAACCGTAAAAAATCGATGCAATACCGAGCCATCGTCCGGCCCCAAGAATCTCTATAACATCCGGGTGTTTAGATCATTCTAAGTGGTGAAAGACGTCTCCCTCTCTTCAAACCTCAACCATGTTTGGGCCTCCCCTTTAAAACACACTCCGACCGCCTCTAGTTTGTCTTCCTCGACCAATCGCTTAATGGAGAAATATCTTTCTACCCTAAAAATCCATGCATCGTAGTCCGTCCCTCCAAAGGTAAGGAATTCCAATTTTCTCGGGAACTTGTCTCTATCCCGGACCTTCTCGCTCCTACAAGCAACCTCCACGGAATCGATGGTGTTTACAAGCGATTCGGGGCTATTGTTACCCTTGTTCTAGCACGGCTCGCCTCGGTTGGGTCACTTCCCCGTTCCTTGATGCTTAGAAAAGAGACGATAAATGTCTTCCAAGCATTAAGCAACAAGTGGCCATGGAATTCTTCGGATCGCCCACATTGTCTTTTAGAACGAGTAAGCACTTAATTTCAGCCTCAACTTGTTCCATTTGACTCTCCATTCGAGTAGCCGGCATTACCTACTTGGATCAATTGCTCGATATCAAATTGATAAGAACCCACAACCAAACAAAGAAGAGATAGAGAAAAGAACGGCAAAATAATATAGGGAATGAGAAATGATGAATAATACCGATCTTTATTGAAGTAATAGGTCTTATGTATCCTCTCGTTATAATAGCAAGTAAGGAAAAAAAGATAATGACAACTATTCTAGAGGCTACCTCTCTCCCATTCTCTCAACAGAGAATATTTTCATAACAAACTTATGATCCCCTCCTTTTTCTCGACCTTACACTCCCTCCATATATATGTATGGTAAAATACCTATATGTAACAAACTCAATAAAGAATATTCTAAGAATTCTATCATCAGCAGATGGCCTAACAAACTTCCTTCACTCGATAGTGCTTGGACCTCTCTTTTCTCTTCTTGTGTAAACCCTACACACCGGGGCTTATCAGAAATTCATTTCTTTCAATAGCTGGTACCTAAAAAAAAAACAAAAAAACCCCTTAAAAGTACGAGCCTTTGAGCCAAAAACATAAATATGACGAAAAAGATTACGAACAAAATCACTTTACTTCATTCGAGACAGGTTACAAGCCGCATAATTTAGGACAAGATCAATTAGGGCTTTGGAAAATACGTGTATAATTATCTGTAAAATCTACACAGAAAAAAGAGAAGCACAAAAATTTTGAATGCTAATTTGGAGCTATTATCTTCAATAATGTCGAGAATAATGTCTGCTGTTCAGATTGATTCCAGGGTTCCCGAAAACTAGATTTTGACCGAGGCAGGATGGACTTGATCTCTTCTCAATGTTGTCCACCAGAGACATCAGACAATCAAAGAATAAAATTGTCTTTTAGATTGACAGCAATATCAAGGAGAGATGACTTCTGACAAGAGGCATTCCACGGGACACTCTGTTGACAGCCTGCAGCAGAAAGTTATGTCCTGTTTTGAAATTGTAGTGGAGGTGTTCTCAAGGTGATGCACCAACAGTCATTCTAAGCGACTGAACATAAAAAAATCTTCCTTGCGAGCCAAAACTGAGCATTTAACTACTAGTCTTGGAAACTATCTGACTTCTGGCTTTTTTACGTTGTTGGATTAAGTGAAGCCATTCAAGTGCTATCGACGAGGGAGACCATCTCGGTGTTTTCAGATTCGAGTGTACCATCACCTTTTTTTGTCTTCAACATCTCTGCTGGGAGGATGGATAAGTTCGGATCACTTCTAGGTATCAGAAACAGCAGGAAAACTGGAACTATTCTCATGAGGCTCCGGATCAAAATGGCTATCCAAAGATTGTCAAATTTTGTCCGTGTAACCTTCAAGAATTTGAGTAAGAGACCTCCTACCCAAGTTGATGAAAGCAAACCGACATGGTCTATTGACATAAGCAGAGCAAAGAAAGTGCCCTCTATACCAGCCGGGCAAAGCTTGGAACTAAGTACAAGAAGAGGCTGCCATTTGATGCGTCCAATCATCATAGAAATGGCTTCATCAATTACAACAAAAAAATAATCAGGCAAACCAAGTTTCAAGTTCAGACGCAGAACCAATATCAAATCTAGCAATCCTGATGCACCATACAACAACTGAGACCAGAAAAGTAAGTCACGAAAAGGATGGTCTTTTAACAAATTTTGGTAGATAAGTACTCCAGAAAGGGAGCCAACTGCACCCACAGAGAATATGGACCCAACAACCTCCTGCATACAATGATCATAACAGGAGTTATTTATGAATTGCATTCTGTTGCAAATAGAAACTTCTGAACACACAGAGAATTATGCATTTGGATACATTTCATTTTGTAAATGGTCAGGAAATTGAGTAATTTGAGTAATGATGCAAACCAAAATGAACAGTAGGCAAGTGAAGAACGCAATAAAAAATAAGAACAGATAAGTGGATACATTAGGAAAAATTAAGAAAACATAAGCATGTAGTTTTTGCAGCTTATAAAAAATCTATTGTTGCAACGGATGATATATAGAAAGAAAGATTTTATTGCAAAATTGATCCTTCAAGTTTCTACCAATTTTCAACTTTGTCCTCATGGTTTTTTACTTTGATAATTTAGTTCAGACTTTTACCAGTAGTTTATAAAGTCACAACACTCGACTTCAATTTGTAAAATTGAGAGAGACGTGACACCAATTAAGTGACACAACTGAGACAATATGGGCACCAAAAATCTGATGAAATACCATTTTTGAACACTCAATTTTACTTTGTTTTGGATAGAGAGGGCTAAAAGTTGTGGTGGACCTGCATCCCATACAAAAACAAAACATCAGAACAACCCAGCTGAGAATCGCTATTAAGCCAACTAAACTTCCCATTGTAGGTAATGGGCAACAGATTCGAGTTCTTAGAAGCAAACACAATCCATGGTGGGGTTCCAAATGAGGGCACATGGCAAACCTGTTAAGTTTGTATCACAACATTGGCCTATGGGAAAATGGACTGATATAAGATGCATAACCTACTAGTTTTCTACCACATAACTTGTTTAGTGATTGTTTGATGATTAAAGCTTAATCAAAGAAGCAAATAAATCATCTTTGGAACAGAGTGAACATAAACAATAAACAATGGAGGTGATACGCACAATATCCTACTAAAGTTCATTTCAACTTTCAAATCCATCCACTGCCATTACCCTGAATTTTTGTAAAGTTGTCAGAATTCTTGAGAAAAGGGTTCCAGTTTCAATAGTCTCTTCTATTGCTGAGGGCTTTTTGAATATTAGAAAGTCTAGATTTGTTGCCGAAGTTTTCAATGTAGGATCTGTATATGTTTCATCACATTGATTGACCATAAAGGTATGCAAGCAAATGCTCCTCGCTTTACAAAACAGAGCAGCTGAAAATCTTTTAAAATGATATAGTTTGGAGAGTTTCATTTGATTTCAAAGCACACAATTAATCCTATGACATGCCATTGCCCCAACCAAGAAAATAAAAATATAGGAACTAGCTAGAAGTACTTTCATGTATAATTTTTTTTATTTGTGCTTTCTTGGTTTGCATGCAAAAATCAAGACAATGACTAAATAATATTTAAGAAAAATCTTCTTTGTGTGCTGATAAGCCTTCAATACCACTAAATTGAATCAGCTGCATGAATTTTCCTGCATATTTTTGCTTACAAAAGATGAAAGGCAAATACCTGCGAGAAAGATGGACCTCCCTTCGCATCTGCATACCAATAGAACATCCCTTCATGAATGTTCAAGCTCACTGCAAGTGACAAGTACATGTATAGACACGGCCTCCATACATCCCGGAATTTCAGTGCTGTCCACATGGCCTTACCAGCATCCAGAAATTTCTCATTTACCTAATTCAATGACTTCATATGAGAATGGAAGAAAGCCGTAATATAAATTGTGCCAAAACAAGACAATCACAAAACCTTACTCCTCTCTGGGAAAATTTATGAACACGGGATTCTCTTAGTATCATTCCAACCAAAATAACCAAGCTTGCTGGCACACTGAGAAGCCCAAACACACCCTGTGAGGTTTGAGTAACACTTGACCGATTATTAAAAGGGTAAATGAAGAAAAAAGCAGTACAGCTCAACATATTATCAATTTGCACTAGATTTTTAACCATCGTTTACAAATTCATATTATTAATAGGCAATTACATCACAGATTCTTTATCAAATCTGGATACAAGAATCTTTTTTTTTTTTTTTTTTTAATGCAGGAAAGCCTCCATAAATGGTTAAACCCTGCACTCATGACTCATGAGAACCCTGCTAACCCATAGATCAATGAAGCTGAGGCCTAGGTAGGTGGCCCAAGCATTGTATTGTTGGCACCTAGAAGCACTGGGAATCGAATTCAAGACATGCGCCTGAACCACACAACTCAAGCAAGCATTGAACAACCAGGCCAACTCCATGGGATTAAGAATCAAATTGTTAACTGAACAGGGACAGTGATTTAATTTATTAACTACCTAAAAAGCAAAGCAAATGGATTATCGAGGTTTGAACATCAATAATATGTGAAGAGAAGCTGACCTTAGGGCCAAGTAGGTGAACCAAAAAGCCACTGAGTGAATAGCCCACTAGTGCTCCAATGGAAGAGCTGACTCCACACAACGTTTGCATATCACCAGCTAAAGAAGGATGACTTATGCTGTTTTGTGTTACGCAGGCATCAATGGCTACATCTGCTATTGCCATCCCAGCACTTGTCCCCGTTAGAGACAATAGGGCAAATGCAAGACTCAAGTTTCTTTGGAGTGATAGAACAAGCATCGAGGTGACACTAAGAAAACCTGAAATTAAAGGAGGGATGAACTTGCTGATCGAACAACTACTGTTATTTGTCCTCATAGTATTATGCTCTTACATGTCATATTATAAAAGGGTCAGCCTCTCATTTTCTTTTAGATGGTCTTTTAAAGGAAAAAAATGTGATAAACCAAAAAAACAGCGCAGGGACCAAAATCAAATAAGAGAGACATGTGAGAAGAATTCAATGTGCAGAATGCAGCGTTTTCCATCATTGCATAATTGCATCTGAAAGAGTCAAAACTTGAAAATGAAAAATATGCATGTGTAAGAGATCAACTAATCTTCATTCTACCTTCTCCACTATTTAATAGCACAGGGAAGTTGTTCTAAAAGAAGATGCCAAGGGGCAAAGGCCAACCTAACATATGGAATGGGTTGATCCCCCATACCCATATTAACAGCCGATTCTTTCCATGTGCTTAACCTGTATTCATCTGAGTTCATTTAACAGTCTCTCGGGAATTTTATGAGTGGAAGACGAAATTGAAAGTCGGAACATAGTTATGTGTAAGAACCTATCTTCGGATGTCTATTTATCTACCTCTATATGCCCTATCCTCGTGATCATGGTCTAATGCTTTTATCTCTTTTATCATCCAAGCTTATACTGTTGACCAAACTCAGCCCTAAAATTCTCCAGTTCACAATCAAACTTTTTTTTAAAATATATATGTCACAAAACTAAAGTCTGCCAAAGGTGCTTAAATGTTCATTCTAATCTTCATGTAATAAATCTTAGTCAACCTAGTCTAGGGCCTTCCATGAAAAGCTCAATTTGCAATCCATGGGTCTTCCCAAAAACCAGAAACAATATCATAGGCTACAGCTTTATAAAGTCTATATTGCAATTTACTCATCTAATTCGTGTATATGTATATATAAACGCTAAATAATGTCAAAGCTTAAATCCCTATCTGCAAACAAACATAAGCTGGACACCAGATTAACAACAAAGCTAAAAGGAAAAGGCACATTTTTTGTACCTGCAAAAAAGAAATAAGGCCGCCTCCTGTACCCAAGAACAGGAAGTGTATCAGTGATGAGACCCCATAAAGGCTTGATTACCCAAGGAAGTTGAAGCAGCCCAAAATACACCTGCAGTTCAGATGGTTGTACCTTCTGCTCATCTTTCATATAGTACTTGGTACTAACTTTACTCATGCCAACAGCAAATCCCTGACTGATCCCATAAACAATCATAACTCCCAACACAAAACTCCAATGCAACTCTTCACCAAGCATTTTGAACCATTGTATTGGCTTTAATACCAAAGCCAAGAGACCCTTTTTCGGGTTCCTTTCTAACTGGGATTCTTCCATGTTTTACCAAAGATTTTGGAGAAATGAGAAAGACCCAGATGAGTTTATGGTCTTGGGTATTTACCGTATCTCTGCAATCCAATCCATAAAGTTTTTGACTTTCACAAGCAGTGTGGCTTCTCGGATCCAACTTCCTTTTTGGTGGCTTCTTGACTCTTGGAATTAGTGATGTGATGATTTTAACGTTGGAAATTCAATGGTCTTCCTTCTTCGGACAGAATAAGAAAATATTAAAATTAATGTTCAATATTAATTAATGTTTTTCTTCTCTCCAGTCTCCAGTCACTCCAGCAACTCCGGTGGCAGCTCCTCCACATGTTTAATTTTATTTTGCCCTCTCCCCTTTATCTACTATTTATTTCTTTTTTCAGTCCAGTATTTCCGATTATGCAATTCTTTTTGCCCACAATCATTTCAAACCCAAAGAAGTTAATTTAGCTACTAAAACTCTAAAAGGATTAGGAAGAAATAAAAAACATAAGTAGATTTTACTCACAGAATCACAGTTTACTATATGCATAGGTATATGCTGATCCGTGTGCTACTGCTATAAATACTGGCCTAAACACAATCTACTGCCACAATGTTTTTTCATTAAAAATATCAAAATCATCGAGTAAATAATAAATTAGTCCCTTTATTTTGAGAAATGAATAAATTTTTTTATTTAAAAAATAATTATTTTTCATCAATCTTTTTATAATATTTATTTTTTTTACAGAAAACAAAATAAATTAGAAAAAATTAATTAGTTTGTGAAATAGAGAACTAATTATTTCATTCTCAGAGAACTAAAAGAATTAATTTATAATTTACTCCAAAATCATGCTTTAAATTATAAAAATCAATAAGAAAATTTAAGTATATTTACGAAGGGGAATTTAGTCATCACGTGTTGTGTATAAAAGCAGTTCATCTAAACCTGTAAGGAGGCATTTTATCTTATATAATACTAATTTCCTCTAACAAAATTAAAGTGAAATATCACATTTAGAAATTACATGAATATAATTTTTTTTTGTTTTTTATTCGAAAGTAAGGAAATACTTTTAGATTAGTCTGTATATTAATCAATATTTTTTTTTTAATAATTTTATGGATATGTCTAATACATTCGAAAGAATTTAATAAATTTTTATAAATGCTTGTCCAAGATTCGAAATAAAAAAGTTAAAGAAAAATTAAAAAAAAACATAATTGTCTTATATAATTCAATTATATGATTGTCTTATATATTTCAATTATAATTAATATTTTTTAGTAAATAATTGTTATAAGATAATTATTTAAGAATAACATTGCTCAAAATAAAAACTCATAAAAGGGTTATGGTAATATCATTAAATTCAAATTATTGATTAGGATTAGATTTTCATTCATGCATCATGGATAGTGTGGATAGTTTTTCAAATATGTTAGTGGATAATTACTTAATTTTATATATGGTTTTTTTTTCTTCTGAATTTAAGAGATAAGATTCAAAGAATACCATGCAACCTATTTTAAAAAACATGAGCAGATATCAATACATATGATAATATTTTCTTATTGTTATTGTCATTATTAAAATTTAGTTCAATTAGATCAAGAGAATTCAATCACAAAAAGTGGCTCATTAATATAAACTTTGGACTTTTAATAAGAGATTTTAAGTTTAAATCTCATTTTTCATGCTTTTTTATAGCCACTAGAATGCTTGTGTTTGTTTATTTGATTTCAAAAGTATGAGACTTATGTTAAATTCTCTTGATTTAGTTGAACTCAGTTTAACTAAATCAAGAGGATTCAATCATAAGAAGTGACTCATTGGTAGAAGCTTTAAACTCTTAACAAGAGATTTAACGTTTAAATCTCACTTTTTATGCTTTCTTATAGCCACCACAAGATTTGTGTTTGTTTCTTTAATTTCAAAAGTGTTTGTTTCTTAGAATTTAATAGTTAAGATTCAAAGAATACCATGTATCCTATTTTAAAAAATATAAGAGGATATCAATACATATGATAATATTTTATTATTGTTGTTGTTATTGTTAGAACTTAGTTCAACTAAATCAAGAGGATTCAATCATAAGAAGTAGCTCATTGATAGAAATTTTAAATTTTTAACAAAAGATTTAAAGTTTAAATCTCTTTTTTTTTTTTAATAGTCATTCTAAGATTTATGTTTGTTTTTTTTAATTTTAAAAGTATGGAGGTCGAGTACCTTCAATTTTGAAATTAATTTATACTCATTGGAAGTGGTTAAAAGATAATCTGTTTTCATATTATTAGAAAAAAAATCAAGAGTACTAAACTTAATTGTGACTCTTTGTGTTTAATTAATGTAACAAAACGCTGTGATTATTTTTGTGCTCAAATCATGATATGAAACACATACAGTTACGTTGAAGTCCACCATTTGAGAATGTTCCAATCCAACACCAAACTAACGAAACCATTGGAAGCTGATCAGTTCAACAATGCGTTGCTTCCCAATTGGTGTGGTCTTTTGAACATGGGACCAGTTCAGAATTAAGGATTTTCCACCAATATTTTTGTCCTTGAAGAGGCACAAATTGTTGGCAGTTATTTTGGCTTTAATATGATTGGTGCTGGAAATTAGGCACCCGCCGCTAAATACGGCACACCAAAAAGGACAGCATGATCTAATTGCGCTTACCCTATAGTTGCTCGCATTTAATGGTCCATTTCATTTCCATATATATATATATGGTTTAAAAGTGGAATTAAATAAATAAATGAATAAAAAGCTAGACAGTGTCTGTCAAAAGGGCTAACAGTTTAATTAGAGGAAGTTTGTATGATTTAGCACTAAAAAAGGAAGGGAAAAAAAAAAAAAAAGGATGTTGATGAGGAGAATTGGCATCGAATTACTCACAAAACTTAAATATATTTTGCACCCTTTGGATTATTTGTTCCAAACTTTTACCATTGTCAAGCAACAAAAACCCAATTGTTGCGAGTTATCAATTGATATTATTCCTTCATGCTGTGAAATTTAAAATTAATTGATTTAGTTTTTCTCTATTGTCCAAATCAAAGAAGCCGAAAATAACAGCACCAAAACTATATGCTTAATTTATTCATTCACCAGTCATATACAACATCTGAGACTAGTAGCCATTGGTCATTAGTCCTTGTCTCTGAAGTATAATTGGCAAGCCACATAGTATTAGATCAATGGCAAACTCTCTCCAACAGGTTAGGCCCTTTGCAACAAGCCTTTTGTGTGCTGATTCTCATTTTTGTTTTGGGTATGGTTTTCTTCCAACGGTCTCTAATTGCCCATTTATAAAATGTTCCATCACAGGCTCCACCTCCACCGGATCCGCTCTCCTTTTGCACACTGTTCATGTGTACGTTTTTGGTTTAATATTGAATTAGAGCCGTGATCTGGTTGATCTGCTTAATGGAGACCGGGAAATAGTGTGCGTACTCCAAGTTCAATGGACGTTGACATGCATGACTGGTTGTTCATGGAAAAAAAAATCAATATAGAAATCTTTTTATCACTTTTGATCGATACGGATATGATTCTTTTTTTATGTGTCTATCTTTTTCGTGAAAAATAAACCTATAAAGTAATTACTCTATATGCATATTAGTTACTACTTGAACATTATAAAATTTCTCATGCATATAGGTTTTTTTTTTTTTTTCATTCTTCGGAGAGGTTCGATGTCTAATAGATTTTGAGCAGTAAAGTAGATTAGTTGTTCGTTTCTCAATTTCTATATCTAATCTTTCTAGTTAAGGTTTAAAGTTTAAACCAATGACTTTCAAAATTCAAATGAAAACTTAAATCTTAATCGTTAGGAAGTCTTACTGAAAACAATTTGTTTGGGTTACGATAATGATTCAATGCTACTTTCTTGTGGAGTGGTTGCAAAATTCTACCTTCCTTTAGTCTGTATATTCCAAAGCCTAAATTATTATTGGAAAATAATTGCCTTGCAATCATGATAATATGAACCGGTAAATATCTTAATTAGAATACTGTCAAATTCGCGTTCTCATACCTTTAAACTATCAAAATAAGTGTAGTATATTTGTTTGTTAGGAAACTCTATCAATGCACGGAGGTCTTTCTATTGCAAAGAAACAGATCATTTTCATATCAGAGAGGGGGGAAATCAGCAGGAAGCAAAAGTTTTTGGATAAAAATGGAAAATGAAAAAATATACTGTATTTTTTTTAAAAAATAATCAAGGAATTAATCTAGATTTTCAATTATTTTTTGTTGGCATGTCTTAAATCTCGGAGCGTATAACCCCTCGTATCATATATATCGGGACAGACTTTCAACTTAATTTGTGATGGCCACAAAAGAGTAAAATATTGAGCTTCAAACCTTAGAAATATATATGAGATTATAAGTTTAATCACTAATTAAAAATTTCTTGGAATTCTAATATAAATAATAAAATATTGAAGAGCAACATCACTGAAAAAAAAAAAAAAAAAACTAATTTGCCCTCTTGAGATTCGAGGGATTTTCAATTTATTCTTAGAAGTTTAGTTTGTATCAATTATTCTCCTCTGAAATTCAGTTTATGTCAATTATTCTCTTGAATCTTTTTTTACCAAATTTTTATTTCTTTTCTTCTATATATTAAACTAACATAACTAAATGATGTGGAGTTGACTTTCTAAAATTTTTAAAAAATTAATTAAATGCGCATTCTTCAATAATATTAACTATCTTACTCTTTCAAATAGAATTATATTTTCTTTTTTTATTTATTTCATATTTCTCAAATTTATAAACTTTAGCATATAAAAAATTCATAAAAATAAGTTAACTTAAACTATAAATCTTGTATATTTTAATAATCATAATTATCTAATACCAAAATAACATAACTTCTAATAAAGGAAAAAAAAATTAACAAGAGTTTGCTATCATTTTTTTTATATTTTCGTTTAAAAAAAACAAAAACAAAAAACATTTGTTAATTTTTTAAAATGAAAATTTTAATATAATAAAATTAATAACACTA